AGCCCTGGACTTAGCTTGCTCTTTGAGCCCCACTGGCTGCTTGGAGGCGTACCTTAGGACTTGAATGGGTTTTGGGTTTGGGTTCAGGGGGCTAGACTTGAGTCCAGTGGCACAAAAAAAGGGGCTTTTTGGGGCTGCGTAGGGCGCTTTGAGCCCCACTGGCTGCTTGGAGGTGTAGGGTTTAGGGGCTGCTTCGATTCAAAATCCATCAGGACTTGTGTGGGTTTTGGGTTTGGGGTAGGGTTTAGGGTGCTTTTTTGGGATGCGTAGGGCTTTTTGTTGAACAGTGCCTGGCGTTGGGATTCTAGAAGATCTAGAAGATTCTAGCAACGCTAGGCTAGACGCCCTATGCCTCTGAAGCTTTGCTTCTTAATTCCAACATCCTGAGTTCCCTGCTAGGAGTTCTTGTAATATATCAGAGGTTCGCCTGTATGCCCGCTTCAAGTGGGGTCTCTTCAACTGTAATTGGAGGGTTACAAAGCGAATCCTTCCTAACCCCGGACAAACCTAAGAACACCCCAAGCGATCCTATAAGAACCTAAGCAAAACCTGAAGAAACTTAACAAATGCCTTGCATGAGGGCTACCAGTGATGACCGGAAGAAACCCAACCGACTTCACAGAATCCCAACAAATCCTAACCATTTCCAGCCAAAGCCCTTACTTGTTCCCAGCTTGATTGCAAATCCTAATTTTTTCACAGCCAACCCTAAATTTGTCACAGCCAATCCTAAATTTTTCCCAGCCAATCCTAAATCTTTCCCAGCAAATCCTAACTTTTTCACAGTTTCCGGCCGGCCCTGTCAGAATCCCAGCAAAACCTAAAGAAGTCGCAACAAAACCTAGCATTTTCCCAACTTAGTCCCAACAAAACCCAGCGTTGTCCCTGGTTTCGGGCAGGGCTGCACTTCCCGGAAAGGCTTGTTTGCCGACTAGGCATCCCAGCTGCAGCCCACACACCAAAACTTCAGCCCAGAGAGTTTCGAAACTTGTTTCCCCCCAATCCCAGAAAGCACGTGACAAGGACAATTTTTGGTTTCTGCGGTTTCCGAGCCCTAAAACGTCTGATTGAAGAAGCCCCCGGTTGAAGAAGCCACAAAGGCCATTCTAAGAATATAGGGGCCTAAACAATTACCAACACTATTTTGGGGGTTCCTTATTCTAGTTATAGTATAATGCGCCCAAAAACCCTATTCTAATTATTGAGGCCCCTACAGTAGTTGCTCGGGATTCCAGGAACCTTACCGTAGTCCTTTGAAGAGCCCCTGACAGACCCTTGTAGGAATCCAGATAGCGACCCTTTTTAGGTTTTTCCAGTAACCCATATAGAGGCACTGGAAGCAAGCTTTCTAATAGCCCTTAAAAACAGCAGAACTTGATACCTTGCAGAAGCTGTCTCACATGGGAGTTTCCGAAAATAGGGGATTCTAATAGTACCCTAAATAGGGTAGGATCCTTATTCTACGGAACCCCCCAAAAAATAGGGTACCCCTGAATTTTCGGAAACTCCCAAGTGGGATCCAAGGCTGTACCAGAGGAAACCTGGGTCTCCTCCTCGTGGGCCAGACCTCTGAACAGTCGGCCCTGGCCGCCGCAGCGGAGTTCCTCGGGGCGGAGAGGTCCTTCTTCGAGGATCGCGGCTTTAGGGGGCGGAGGGTGGGGTGGGGGGGGTGTGGGTTGGGGTTTGGGGTTGGGGTCGTAGGATTTCCGGGTTTCGGCTTTTGGATTTGTTTGTCGGGTGTCCTTTGCAAGAAAAACAGGATCGAGTTTCAGCAGGACTCAGAGGGTTTGAAAGGGGCTTAGGGTTAACACACAAGGTTATGATCGAGATTAGGGTTTTGTAGTTAGATCACGGGGCTAAGAGCCAAGAGGACCGACTTGTGTTTTCTTGTGCTCCAGAGGGTCCGACTTTCATCCTTCTCGGCTGTCTTCCTGTGGCATGTCGGAGTTGAGGCTCTTGATTGTTGGCGCAGGGTTGCCTGTTTTAAGCCGGGCGCAAAAGGGCCCGGCTTAGGTTCAGCTTATGGTGGCGAGTCTTTCGAAATCTGGTGAATCTAGTGTTTCCATAGTCCCCAAGCTCCGCACCCAGGATCCTTGGGTTTTTTTTGGCAGGGTGGCGGATTCGACAGGTCCTTGTGACCTTAGCCCTCGAACACGCCGAGAAAATCGTCAACTCTTGGATCAAACTGCTAGATGGCTCCACCACGCCACGCCTCTCAGGGACGAAGTATGCTCCCTCCATGCCCAGGGTTTCGGTAAGCTCCCTGGGCCTGGTTTTCCAGGTGTCTCGTGAAGCCTTGGTGCCCTGTATTTCTCGGAACTTCCCGCCTCTGAGCTCTGAGCCGCAAGCTCCTGAGCCCTAGCTTCGCGGTTTTGGGATTTGGGCTTTAGGGTTGAGGGCTTTAGGGTTTAGGGTTCAGGGGATTTGGGCTTTAGGGTTTAGGGTTCAGGGGATTTGGGCTTTAGGGTTTAGGGTTTGCAGCGGAAGGATCCCTCCCTGGTGCTGCGGTCCTTGAACCGCGCCAGGGAGGGGCGCCATGAGCGGCAGGTGCTCTGCAGGTCGCACGCTGCCAAACTCAAAGGGGAAAAGGAGGGACCCTTAATGGGGACCCCTACCCTATAATGGGCTATATAATGGGTATATCATGGCTATATTAAGGGTATATTACCTAGGGGTGCTTCTGTGCAGGGCGATGTAAGTAGTCGTACGTACTGTATGCAGTTGTATGTATGTGAATGCACGTATGCATGTATGTACGTACGTATGTATGTATGCATGTGCATGTATGCTGCTCTGGACATGTGTATATGTATATATATATATATATATATATATATATACATACATACATAACAACAACTTTTCTGTGTATCACATTTTGTATTTGTATATGTCTTTGTCTACTATGTCTTTGTCTATGTCGGTGTATATGCATGTGTATATCTATGTTGTTATGTTGCAGGCATATGTAGATGTATATGTGTAACACATCGAGTAAACCCATAAACAGACAAGCAAGCAAGTAAGCGCACATCTGCACTGTTAAAAACAAAACATATAGACATACATGTACATATATGCACATACATACATATCCATATATGTGTATATGTGTATATATATATATACATGTTTGTATTCATCTTCACGCATTTGACACATCACACACACACACACACGCACATACAACCAGGCTTCCCGCAAGCGTGCATCTGTACAAGCTTGCATAGAAGCTGGTTTGGCTCAGGGTCTGTGCTTCGGTGCTTGGGGGCTATGACATCTCTTGTCAGCCATTTTGAGGGAGAGGGGCGCAGATGGGGTTCTCAGGGGCTGGGATGTAGGGCTCCGGTGCCACAAGGTTCGGAGTGAGGATGATGTCCGCGACGCACCTGGCATAATTTGCTGTAGCACCACCGACTAAACAATACTGACCTTAAGTGTGCGGCTAAGACCCGTAAGAATCGCCGGAGTGACACCATGTGACACCCAAAGTGGTTTTCTGAGAAGAACACAGATCCCTAAGCTTAAGAGTCGCGAATTCGGCATTAACAAAAGCTTGCGTCCAGGCCGGAGCTCACAGCTTTGCGGGACTTTCTCCGACGCCTCTTCCGCGCGGAGTATACCAAACTGGCAGAGCGGCTCTCTCGCTTTGAGCTGCTGAAGGGCTCCGCCGAGGAGCTCTTGGAGATGGAGAAATGGAAATGTCCGGATGAGATCTAGAATCTAGGATGTAGGGTCTGCGGTTTTGGACTTGGAAGGCTTCAGTTCTGTTCCGGAGTTCCGGCTCTGGGTGATATCTCCTGCAAGCACGTTTCTGCTGGAAGCTGACACGGCGGAGGGTTGACACATGGTGGAGCGGAAAAGCACGACAGCCGGTCCGACCTCACGCCCGACTCCGACTCGGTTCTTCGATACCTCGCTCTGGACGTCCTGCAATCAAGATGATGGCCTTACCTGGCTTGACGAGGCTTTGTCACCTGCCGACGAGCTGGAGTGAAAAGCAATGTCGCCTTGCGGCCGTGCCGGGCTTGTGAGCCCAGTCAGTTCCAGCATCTACAGCGTGGCTTGTCGATGCCCGGTCATACTTGGATACCTTGTGCAAAACCTCCATGAATGTCTTGCCTACTGACTGGATGATGGCCGCGAGCCAAAGCGCTCTGCCTGAAGTTCTCCTAGGCAGGAAAAGGCGCGTGCAAGTTTAGATCTTCGGTGATGACCGCCACAGGGGCATCTAGTCAGGGTTTGGGGGTTTAGGGGGCGATTGCACAAGTCCTGATGCAAAAAGGGGCAAGAGGGTTTTTCCCCGGCAAGACTTCAAGAGGCCTGGATGCAAAAAGGGGCAAAAGGGTTCTGTGTAAAAGGGGTGGAACTTCATAGCCCGGATGCAAAAAAGGGTTCAAGTTCAACCAGGATGATTGCTGAACCCGTTCTTGCCCTGCCCTGCGACCTTCTTCGGATGGGTGGGTCGATGATTTCAGGTGCAACCTCAGTCAAACGCCCATTCCCAGTCTAGAAACCCGAAGCCCCTAAGCATCGCAACAAGTCCACCAAGCCATTAACATCATCACAGAATGCCTTAGATCCACAGCAAGTCCCAAAATCTGAATCCGAAGGCTAGTAGGAGGCAACTCCGAAGTCTCACCCCATGCTAGGAGGTAGGATTGGCTAAACCTAAAGCCCTGGTTCAAACACAAGGGCGTCCATGTCATAGGCTGCGATGCCCGAAGCTTCGCAAGCCCTGCCCCTCACCCTCACAGTTTTGGCTTGGAGGCATAACTGTCAACCCCTTGGCAGGCCCCGGCCGAGGTCCTAAACGCTACAAGTACGAAAATGTGAGTCGAAATGGCTCAAGCTCTTTTCTACACTCCCCCTGTGGTCTGTCAGTCGTTTCAGTAGGACACATGACAAAAAGCCTTTGTCTTACTATGTTGGACGTGTCTTCCAGAGAAGTGTGTCGGGATGGAAATTCCTTACAAGGCGTGTGCCATAAGCGGTCGCAGGTGTGGAAACCTACGAGCAGCTGAGGCCCGTTGGTGAGAAGGGCCTAAACTTCAATGGGTCCTCTTCCAGTGTTGTTCATTGAAACTTTTGCAGGGCATGTCTGTCTCTGTGTGTGTGTGTGTGTGTGCGTGCACGTGTGCGGGGTGGCTGCGCGACAGCCGTGGAGTTATAAGCATTAGTCACGGCCCGTGGAGCCTAATCATGATCAACCTCATCACCCTGTTCGTTGTCATCTTTGTCGCCATTCTCATCCGCATAAAATTTCAGAATGGTCAGGCTACCAATAGTACTCACATGGAACCTGCCAGGAATAGACCTTGTATCGATGCCGTGCGGGCTTGTCCTTGCGAAGTAGGAGGCACAAACTCCTGAAGTTGTGAACCCTTGCCCTTCGCGAGCATGAAGTATCTTACAGAAACCCTATTATATCCCCTCCAGCAACAAATATAAACTATATTACAGTGCAAGGCTAATAGGCTCGAAGTTCCTGCAAGATCCGAGCGCTGTGGGCAGGCAGCTTTGGCCGCCGCCGGCCTCCTTGAGACCGGGCTCGGTGGATCCGCAGGCAGCGGGCTAGGGCTTCAGTATTTTTGTCTGTTTTTGTTTTGTTTTGGGTCTCGGGAATCGTACAAGGTCTGTAGATGTATTAGAGGTTGATTTAGGCTTGTTTTTGTTGGGAGGTTTACGTGAAGCGTGTTTTTGGAAGGCTTTATAGGGTGTGTTTAGTTTGGGATTGAGAGGGTTGAAAGCGTTCTCCGAATTTGCACACGTGTATACTGCGAGAGTGTTTCGGGGGCTGCTGTAAGACATGATAGGGTTCTGCGGCTTTGATCAACAACAGGGCCTTGTTTCAGCATACGGGGTGATTTGGTCCCGTTAGAAATTCGGTTCCAGCGTTTCTCTGCCCTTTTGCAATTCTCGGAGTTTCAAGCTGTGGTACTGCAGCTCGAAAGAGAATTCCACTTTTCATGGAGCAGAGGGCTGGTGCATGAACGACGGCGCATCTTAGCCCAATCGTGCAGGAGCTAGCTTCCCTGGGTTTTCGGTTCTACACGACGGAACAAAAACTGCAAATAAAAGTTGCGAAGAAACAAAAGACAGGAGACGGAAACTCAACCCTCAACCCTGGACTTAGACTGCTACAGCCTCCAGACCCTAACATCCTAAGACCCGAAGACCCTAAGACTCCAAGCCGAAATGCTAAACAGTGTCTGCTCCGGGAGCTCTTTATCCTGACAGCCCCAACTTTGGGTACTGCCCCCACTCAGTAACAGCTGGATAATATTCATAATGCAGATTAGGGCCTTAATAGCAGCACTATTATAGACTGTTAGTGTATGGGGGCAGTACCCAACCCCAACCCTATCATTGCCAGGGAATCTCCGCCGCGCGAGCCCGAGCTGGTCCAGCGCTGTGTAGAATGGTTTTTTTTGGTAGGATCCCCTAATATTATTTAAAGTATACTCCTTAATTAAGGGATAGTTTCAGGGAGTTTTTTAGGGCTTCGGGAGAATGAAGACCCGGATGCAGACAAAGGGTTTACGGAGTGATATGGATTTCATTCGGTAGGGTTGAATTCCGACGTCGGTTTCAAGCTGAAGATTTGGGAGGACGAACTCGGACTCTCATCGCTTGGCTCGACTGCGACGGCATCCTCGCTGGCATCGTCTCAAGTCCTAATGTAGGAACCTGATTAAGAAACCCTGGCCATATGGCCCCCGAAATATTAGGATCCATATAGGGAGCCTTAGTAAAGACCCAAGGTTTCTTAATCTAGACCCCTTTAACGGAACCCTACTAAAGACCCAAGGTTTCTTGATCAGGTTCCTACATGACAACAATCCCCACAGCTGACCGAAGACCCGAAACGCCAAAACTCCGGAAACTTTGCCTGCTTTCGCGACTGGGATACTCGAAACACTAAAAGCCCTAAGCCACAAACCGAGAACCCACAAATCACAAACAGCAGAAACGTAGCAGAGACCGGTCGAAGAAATCTTGTGCCGAGGCCTGCGACTTCTGCCACCGGCATGCGCTGAGGAGGCAAGGACTTCAAAAAAAGCTTTCGAAAAAGCCAACGACCCTAAAACGTCCAACCCCCCTAAACCCTAAATCGTAGCCATTTTGGCTCAAGCACATGTTTCCGTTTAGTTCGGAGAGGTCGTGGTCCTGTGGGGTTCTACATATGGCTCATCCCTAGCTGGTCTGACTCACTGAACAGCCACCGTCCTACTTTACAAAAACGTCAAACTTGAACCTGACCACCAATCTGCAGTGAAGAGAATTTGGGGGGGCATCGTTCCTTAGGGAGCCTCGTATCGCGTTGCTGTGGTCTTAACATCTTTCCACCCATTGATCCACCATGTGTACTACTTTGCAACCCCCTAATAACCTTCACCACGCAACCCGGACCGCAGGACCACAGAGGGGGTATCTTCATAAATTCCTAATAAAACTCTATGAAACTTTCATAAAGTCTCTACGAAGCATCCGGAGAAGTTTGGGCTACTAGTCTCGTGCCTCTCTCGCTGAGCCTTCGGAAGACCGAGGATCCTGGAGTTCTGCATTTGGCAGTTCCTGAGCAAGGGCCATGGACCCAACAGCGAACCAGCGCGAGGCTGCCGCTCGTCTGCAAGCTCTGGCAGCGCGGCATGGCGCGACAACCACTGCCGCCATCATTCCGCCACGGCGTCTCGAATTCGTCGCACCCGTCCCGGCTGCACCAGCTACAGGGGCCCCAGCTGCTGCCAAGGTCCTGTCGAATCCATGTCGAATTCATGTGGCACGCCAAGCGGAATGGGCGGGATGCCTCAAATCATACAGGTTTGAGAACAGGATGCGGCACAATCGTTCAACTACCGCCCGCTGGACAGACGGCCCTTCAGTGCATGTGAATTCCTGCTGCTGCATGTGGAAGCAGAGTGGCAATCTGTCCCAGGCTACACTGGCCGAGAACAGAGTTGAAAATATTTGGCGTGTAACTGCACGGGTATTTGACCTTTTGAGTGATAGTGTCAGTATGACATTCTGCATGTGACTGCTATGGCAAGCCGAATTTACAGCACTGGAAGATGAGGAGACCGAAGACATGATGCAAGTCACTAAACACTGCTCGACGACTTGCATGACGGAATTTGCACCTTCATGGAGCTGCGTGAAGGAAGCGCTGGCTAGGCCCTAACTCCTGGGCGACACCTGTGCCTTTCTGGAGTTGCTTCTGGATTGCTGTTTTCTGGCGACAGTGAATGTTTGCATATACTGCGGACGAATTCTGGCGTATGGCAATCAGTGGTGGAGCAGCGTGTCCCATGCTATATTGGTTCTGGGATATCCTGTGAGGGAAGTCTTATGCATGCCGATGCATGTGAAAATATTCTGCATGTGACTGGTCCAGTGAACCGCTGCTTGGAGTCTTCTGCATGACAATGGCAGTGCATGCTGGCGTATGGCAATCAGTGGTGGAGCAGCGTGTCCCATGCTATATTGGTTCTGGGATATCCTGTGAGGGAAGTTTTATGCATGCTGATGCATGTGAAAATATTCTGCATGTGACTGGTCCGGTGAACCGCTGCTTGGAGTCTTCTGCATGACAATGGCAGTGCATGCGTGCATGGTGCCCCCTTGGTGTTGTGCTGAGTGGAAGTAATGAAAACCTTGGGAGTTCGGGTAGTGAAGCCTTGGGAGAGAAGCTCGAGATGCGATTCGGTTTCACACGTCTTCTGGGTGGCTGAACTAGGTCGTGGGGTGATAGTTGGTTTAGCGGTTGCCACTGTGGGAGACTGCTGTCAGTTGGAACCTGTGTTATGGTTGCTTACTTGGTGTTGGCTTGTTTCTGGTTTCGTCTGACAGCTGCCTGGCGAGTTACATGAGCTTGCTGGGTTGTTAACGAGATCGTCGAACCTACTTCTGCAGACCTTGCCAGGTTTTGTCCGAGTGTGAGTGTCAAAAAAACCGTTAAAAGCCTAGGCGAGGTTCACAAGTCCCGGGGTCAGGCACAGATGGCCTACACCATCACGCGTTGGCGACAGCGAAACATTAACAGACAAGCCCTCCTATCCAAGCGCTGAACTGCACACTGCACTCCACTCCGCAGCCATTTACTGCAGGAGCTTGCAGCCGCCTCCACACTGTACCCACAACTTGCAGCACAGCCGCACTCAAATATCACACGCATACGGCAAAATGCTCTCGTCATGCTCAAAAGAATTCCCTCCTCATGCAAGATCGAACGCCCATGCATTGCAGTCTACATGCAGTCAGCATCCACGTCCACGCAACCCCGTTGCTCGTACATACACCAGATCCGGTCACACTCACTTTGGCAGGATGTCAGCTGTGAAGTTTGCATCTCGCACATATCAAGCAGCACAGCAGAAACGCATGGCACAACCATGACAGCTCGCAGTGAGACCGCTTCGGTGGTCTCTCGGTGTGCAGAGGTTCCATGTCCTCGTAGAGCATGTTCGCAGAGACCCAGCCACCAACAGATCATGCAAGCACCCCGGAGTGCCGCAAATTCAGAATAAATTCCCATGCAGAATCCACAAATACCAGACACCATGCAGAATCATCCCAATGAATTCCAAACACGCAAAATTCACAAATACCAGACACCATGCAGAATCATCTCAATTGTGCCCTGAACAGAAAACTGCCATGCAGGAAGTATGTACGTAGGCCCAGGCCATCCATAGGTCGTTCTGGCGTCCCCAGTGCACATTGTCACGCAGTCTCCCTCTGAGAGCCCTCCCAGGACTCCTATGCTCCCATATGTAACAAAGCCATCAGAGACTGTGCAGAAGTAGCATTGACTCACAGGCCCGCACACTGAATGTCGACCTTCATGTAGAGTGCAAGCCACCCATACTGCTGGCCCGCGTCAGGGTGTCTCAGCGTCAGCAGGCGACAAGCTCCCGAGAAAAGCGGATAGTCTTCCTAGAGCGTCCAGTCTAACGCGCCCAGATCAGAGCAGACTATGGTCCTCTCGGTTCCGCTGCAGCGTGACCTTGTCATAACTCCAGATGGAAGTGACTTACAGCAGTGTCTCCTCGAAGTAGCTTGCCGTGTATCCCTGCAGAGAGTGCCATCGCATGCACTGTCGCGGGTTAGGGTTAACTATACCCGGGGACAGGGAGAGGGCGCTAATATAATCCCACGAACGGACGCGGTGATGGCGGGAAAGACACCGAGAGCTCTCCCTTTGCTCTGGGGGGTGGTAGGGCGGCCCCCTGCCCCATTTCCGCTTGGGATCTCGTTCAGCATGTGGAGCATGACAGGCCTGCCAGACTTGAAGCTACGGGAGGTCACATGGGAACTCATTTCAGGCAGGCTTCAGTTTCGGCAACAGTCGCCAACTCAGAAACGACAAAGCGCTGGGCTAGAATCTAGGGAACAGCCTACGGAGGAGGGGTAGGTAGGGTACCAGAGGACATGCTAGCTTCAAACGTTGCAACCAAGCGCTTGGGGCTCCGGTATAACACCACTCTTCCGCCTAGAGGGTAGGGAGGAGGTTGGTTTGTTCAGGCCGGGCAGACAGAGTCCAAAGTCCAAAGTTGAGGTGCAGCACACTTTATCATGCAAACTCGCTCAGTGAAAGTGCAGCTGCCGACCGAAGATCATTCTTAAATTCTACACGCACAAATTCCAATTCACAAATTCGCAGGCACATGCGTTGGAATTCAGCGCTTGTACTGGCACATGCAACATGCTTAAATTCTCGTGGCCAGGCATGTGAAAAACACCGCTCTCGCCTACTGTACGTGTCATGCTACATCTTCAGTCGGAAAGGTCGCACCGGAATGGGGCAGCAGAGTCAGACGTGGAAGCTATGCACAGACCGCAGTATCAAACACTCGCATGTCACCATCCGGCACAACTACTCGCGCGCTGCTTCATTTACACTACATGTGCTCCTAGCATCTGCGAAAGAACTGCCCTCGGGATAAAGATGATCTTGCCGTCGGGGAGCGTGATGGGACACAGGTACCCTTGTCCCTGCCGGCTCATGACTGGCAACGACTCATCCAAGTTCAACATCATGGGGCCTTGTCCGCAAGAGGTAGGCACGCCCGCGGCCGCCGTGGGACCGGCGTTCGGCGGCGTCGGCTCAGCAGTGGGCGAGCGAGTGGTATGCTCCGCCCCCATAGCCTCGATCTCCTTCTGCACGGCGTCCAACTGTTCTTTGGTTGCCTCGAGGAGCCCCCTCAAAAAGTTGAGTTTATCTGGCAGATGTTCGCTGTCCCCCTGAATCCTGTCCAGGGACTGCTGTGCCCATCGCAGCTGCCCGCTCAAGTCTTTGAGCTGCTTGCTCAGGGCATAGGAAACGCCAGAAAGCTCCTTCTGCAGCTGCTCGAACCTCCCGTTCATGCCCGTCCCGAAGCTTTCCTGGTTTCGCTGCAAGGGAGAAACGAAGCGCTGGAGATCTCCATAGTCCTTCACCATCTTCTTGGCAATTCCGTCCAGGGCTGTAGTAGTGTTGAGCTTAGCCTCTTCCATTGCCGTCGAGATGGCACGAAGGGCATCTGAGATGTCCTTGTACTCCGTCCCCTCCAGTTTGGACCCCATTTTGGCAAAGGTCTGCTTCAGGTCCTCTTTGGCCCTTTGAACCGTCCGTTGGAGCTCCAGCTGGTGGCTTGCAAGGGTATTCCCCAAATTCGCATGCATTGCATGAATTGTCCGAGTGTGAGTGCTGAAACCGTTAAAAGCCCACAACACACCCTGGACCCATGGTAAAGCCCGAAGCCTCAAGGCCCCAAGGACCGAAGCTCCACACTTCGGGCCAGGGGTCCCTTATTTTGGGGTCCTTAGAATAAGGATCCTACTATTTGGGGTACTATATTAGGGCCTATTAGGGTCCCCTATTTTCGGAATCTCCCCTTCAGGCCCCTGCAACTCCTCTCCGTGGATGGCGGGCACTGCGCCCTCTGGCTGGAGCCTGCGGAGACTCAGCTTCGCTGGAGTGCTTGTTTTGTGGTCATTAGGGTTTAGGGATGTTCAGGGGTTTGGGGGTTTGTGGTTGTTCGCTGGCACACAATCCAAGCCCTCATGCTGAAAAAGGGGTTTAGTAGTTTTGGGATCAGGGTTTTTGGGTTGAGGGCTTTTGAGGTGGAAGGAGCCCTAACGACAGGGCGAAGGACACTGCCGAGGATATTTAACTCACGTTTTGCAGGCTTCTCGGGTCTGCTCCTTCTTACCCATGACCTCCCTAAACCCCAAAACCCTAAACCCTAAACCGTAGCAAAGCAAAGCAAAGGGAGAGATGGAGAGGGAGAGAGGGGGAGCGGGGCGGAGGGAGAGACCCCCGTAAGGGTATCAGATGTGGGAGTTTTTGTTTTTGTTTAGGGGGGTACCTTTTTTTAGGGTCCTTATCATAAGGATCCGTCCTACTATTTAGGGTACCATATTAGGGTCCCCTCTTTTGGGAAACTCCCATGTGGCTCCGAGGTGAGCTTCCAGGCGCTCTTCCAGGCATCAGCTTTCGAAGCCTACGATTTTCGGGTTGAGGATTTGCAAGATTCGGTACTAGGGTCTGTCTTCTAAGGTTTTGAAGCACTCTGGAGCAGCTAGGTCATAGTTAGTCATATCTATGGTATGATTGTACCTAGCCCTTAAGATGATGCCTAGTGTGGACTGTTACAGGGTGGGGGCAGAACCCAAAGCATGCCCGAACATATAGCCATTCCGCATGCGGTGTCGCTGGGAGCAGGATTTGGTCACCACGCGCCTGGCCTCCTATAGGTGCGGGGAACATCTAGAGTTTTCGGGGTTCAGGTTTTTGGAATTGGGGATTGGTTTAGGCTATGCGTAGCCTAAACCCTAAACCCCTAAACCCTAAACCCCAAGTGCAAAAAGGTTTAGGCAGTGCTGTTTCCCATCTGATCGGCAGAGTCTGGGTTCATGATGAGCTCTGGTGGCGCCTCGTGTGCCCGACTGAAGCCTAGTAGTAGAGTAGGCAACTTTTAACCTTTTTTGTGTAGTATAGTCCGTACCCTGCTATGCGGTCTTCGACCAGCCAAGTGGGAGCCAAAAATAGTCCCTACATAGTCCCTATATATCGAAAAAGGTTGACCTTTTTATAGTTCCCCATGATACCCGACAAGTAGGGAGGGAGATTGTGGGAGAGGAAGGAACACTTGGCTGTGCATAAGACAAGATCAAATGAGACCTCAAGCCACCCTGCTGCCAATCCAACCTCTTACTTGTAGCGAATCTGGGAGAAGAGGGGCGAAACAAAAAACAACAGAACAAAACTCCTGGCTGCCAAAGCCCCAATCCTTGTTCCGTTCCGCTAGCATCCTTGTTAAGGACAGGGATATAAGGGCCCCTAAAACTGCGCCAGGGAAGGGGAGTACTGCACATCCTTGATGGGGAACAGCTCCTTTGCGAAGCTCGAGATGCCCGGAGCTCAACCTTGGATAAATGTGGGTCGAATAGGGTTTAGGGTTTAGGGTTTAGGGCGAAGCTTTGGAAGCTTTGGGCAAGGCAGCGCAGTAGATGGTGATTCCGCCAAAATAAGAAACTAAGGCACCCGTCTTTAGGGATCATTGTCGCGAGGGTACTGAGGGTATATACTGGCACCGCTAGTTATCCGAAAGCGTGAGATTTCGAAAAACATCAGCAGACAAGGGCAGCGCCACGGCGAGGGCCTCGTCCCGGGAAATGTTTCCCACGCGCGCCACGACCAAGTCTCTTTAGACATAACGATGGAAGCTGAATAGTTCAATTGGGGTTTGGGGTTTTGCGTTTAGGGTTCACAGCTCTCGTCAAATGTGCATTTGCGGCTTACGGGGGTTGGGGTTGATGAGGTCTTGGGCCTGGGGAGTTGGCGGCACATGCGTTCGAGTCTGCGGCATGCTCCAGGTCCAGCAACCAGCAGTACTTCAGCAGCTTGGCGTGACAGCGTACTCTCGCCGCTCATCCAGCTGTTGTTGCTCTTACGACAGCGTGCCCGAAGGCTTTTGTCTATGTAGGGTGGGGTGAGCATGCACAAATGTGCAGTACACTGTAGTTAGAGGTTCCCTCAAATTCTTGCCGAACCATGTCTTGAAGCCCCCTGCCACGAAGCGTGAGGCAACAATCCCCTCTTCCGCAGTGCGGACGTATTGGTGGCCCAGCAGCTTGTCTGCTCAAGAACTAAGCCTTACGTTCTACCATACCTACATAAACCCTTGAATCCAGCCCTATTCCCTATGCCCTAAACGCAATTACTCTTGTGGAAACCCGCAAACCGTAAATCCGGAATGTGTGGAATCACATCACAATCCAAATCGTCAAATTGCCCCAAAGCACCTGAGCACGACGTCCTGAGCTCAAAGCTTCAAAATCCCCTCACTTCCCTTCAAAGTTCTTAGCGCCAAATCCTCGAAGCCTTCTTCCCCTATAACACCCGAAGCCCTGAGGTGGGTCGGCGAGGCTGGCAAGCTGCGTGTGCACTACTCCAAGCCTGTGGGGGCCTTTTTGAGTTGGAGACTCCTCGGATTCAGGATTGTGTGTTTACGATGTAGTTTTTTTACGTTTCTGGGTGCATCGCGACTTTTTGCTGGCTATTTTCCAGCCTAAGCTGTTAGCCTCTTATGTTGCTCTTTTCATAGCCCGTTCTCGATGCTGGCCAAGCGCGGCCCACCTTGGGATCTGTGTTTCATCTTTTCACTAGTCTCGAGGTGTTGCTGGTCAAGGGTTTCGACTTTGAAAAGTGATCTTAATCTGAATGTGAGAAACGGGTCACTAGACCAACCCCTGATTGCTACCAAAGGGGCCTTATTAAATTTACATATTATACCTTATAACTATAGTCCAATGGGCCTCAAAACCCTTTTCTAGTCATAATTAAGGACCCCAAATTATAGTACCCTTATAGATCCCTCTTGGTAGCCCGTATGCAGCCCTTTACAGGAACCCTAGTAAAGGCCCAAGGTTTCATAATGGCTCCAAGCCTGGCAAAGCTGGAAGATGCAGAAGGTGAGCAGCATGCCCTCGAGGCGTCGAGGCTTGAACAAGCGGCAGACGGCGCCCTAATGTAGGAACCTGATTAAGAAACCCGGGGCCTATAACACCAAAATATTAGGATTCATACAAAGAACCCTAATAGAGGCTCAAGGTTTCTTATATGAGTCCTACTATTTTGGGGTTGTAGGGCCAGGGTTTCATATCAGGTTCCTACATTATTCAGACAGGGTCATGAGAACCCCATAAAGTCATAAAAGCCCCTACGCCCCGAGGCAAAGCTGCGAGACTGCCAAAAAGCCAAGCCTTGTACTATAGTCTCCTTAGGATGTTTTAATTCTTGTTCGTATAAAACCCTTGAGAATATTAAAAATCTTCTTTCAATTATGGTTCGAAGGGTGGTATAGTGTAGATGCAAGCCCACAAACCCTACCCCTCAACCCCCGTAAAAAAGCCCTAAACCTGAGGTGATCGCGTATCTCGGATTTCTCCTGCTGAACGACCCCGTCGTCGGCAAGTGCGCCAAATTTCCGAGAGTACGAGCTTTCTGCTGATTCCGCAGTGCCTCAGGCGTGTCCCGTAAACCCTATAATCATATCTTCTCTAAGCTGGAAGCATCATGCGCACCAAATCCTACCGCCCTTGACTGAACATGCCGCCAAACACTACTGAGAGTTGCGAGACCAGGTACCATCCCTGGAGTGAGCCACTGGACCACTACTGGGAGAGGCCCTTGTAGTTAGGATTTCAGAGCCAGCGTTGATTTAGTGTCCACGAGGCCTCTGACGTACAAATTCAGAGTATCTGCTGTTGGGCAGTCCGGGCTGTGGGACGAGCGATTTGGATGTAGCAGTTCAGATCGATTGGGCGTGCAGGAGCCGTTCAATGTCGTTAGGAGGTACGCAAGCCCAGGAGAACTCATGTATACTCATATCGTGTGGATGCTGATTCACTGCTCCATTTGCGGGAGGATGGCTTCTTCGAATATGCTCGGAGAATTGCGGAGGTTAGTAAGGGCTTGCAGGGAATCGAGAGCTTCCATGCCTGACGCCTTTTCATCGCAGACGGTCTCCCGAGAGCAGGGTCAGGGCTCAACGTGAACGCCCATAGCAGCTCTGACATCCTACTCCTCCGCAGCCGGCAGCACCTCGCCCTGAAACGTTTCCGTTGCTTAACGCCGAAGTCCACTGCACCCCCGCTGCTTGGCAGGTTCACATTTCTTCAGGACTGTGATGTCCATTCGCTGCAGGGCAAACCGCCCAAAGATGGCGGACCCCCATGCCACATGGCTTGTACAGTGGTATCGTTGCAAGGGGCTGTAAGTAATTACGACAGAAGTTGAAGTCAGTATCCCCTTATAGAGTCAGGCTTTTTTATTTGCCCAAAGCCCCATGTTAGATATCAAAGCCAGCACTACATCGTGGAACCGAAGCAGAAGTGCAAGTTTGGGCTCTGCGACTTTTGCTTCGCACCCGACTTTGGCCGCTCCATGCGACCGTCCCTGCCCCAAACCTACATCTTCCAGAAGAGGGGGTGTGTAGTGTAGAGGCCTTAATAATTACCTAGACTATTTTGGGAGTTCCCTATTCCAAATATAGTATAATGGGCCCCAAAACCCCAAACAATTATCAAGGCTGCTATGTGAGAGTTCCCTCGGTGCAAGGTTCCGCAAGCCCACGCTCCTCAATCCCCCCAGGTCCAGCGTGCTCAGGGGTTTAGAGAGCTTTAAACTGCCCATAAAACCATGGAAAACCCTGATTAGAGCTTGTAGAACAGTGGAAAAAACTGTAAGGGTCCTACAAGAGCCATGAAAAACCCTTAAGAGCCTTATAGAAGCCATAAAACCTTGTAAGAGGCACCATAACAACAGAACCTTAAAAACAACTTTAGCCCGTAAGCCCTAAAGCCCCAAACCCCAAGCCCTAAAGCCCTGCCAAGGCGCGGTTGTCTACGAGGAGCCGCAGCTGGCGGAAGCTGCATACTGGCAGACAGGCGACTAGTCTCAAAGGGTGTGGTTAAGGGTTAACGGTTTAGGGTGGGGGCTTAGGGCGGCTAGTCTCAAGAGTGGTTCCTGTAGCCGGAAAGGCCTGGCTTTTTAGAGTTTTTTAATAAGAACCTTCTGTAGCCAAAAGAACCTAGCTCTTTAGAGTTTCTTAAGACCTGGCTGTTTAGGTTCCTTATTATGGTTTCTATATTAATTTGAAACGTCGGTCTTTTGGACCACAGATTTGGTTAAGGGTTAATGGTTTCATGGCTCTCAAAGAGACCCCAGCGTTGCCAATCCCGAAATCCAACAGCCTGGGAACCTATGTAAGCATTTGGTAGTTTAGGGCCGAGTCCAGGGTGTTCCGACTTCATCCAAGCCTAGCTAGACTCTAGACAGCAGGGTTTCACGGTTGCCAAATCGCACTGGGACTACACAAACAAATATGTATGTATATATATACATATATATATATATAGTTAGTTCTGCATATATATATATATAGATACATGTATTTGGCAGCTTGCGGTATCAGTAAGGCCCCGACGAATTCGTAACATTGTTCCTGTTAGAAACCCTGAGAAAGCTCTGCAGTCCTCTAGGGCTCGCGAGCCCAAAGCCTCAAACCCAAAAACTCTCAACTCTGTAAACATTCTAGCACCAGGGCCGTAATCCAACCCTAAACCATGGAGTATGTCTGACGCCTGGTGCGGGCATATCCATGTAGTACTTTAGCAGAACAGCATGTGTTCTAGAAGCCTGAAAAGTACCAACACTCTTCCTTAGGGTTTCCTATTACACGTGCTAGTTCCTTAGGGTTTCTCCTTACACATACTAATGTAATTAGATTTGTTAAGGCTTCTATAATACTCACAGTCTCTTGTCAGATGTTAGGAGATCTCCTCTGGCACTTTAACCCGGAAGAACCTACCCTTTTGTGGACATCTATATATATATATATATATATATCATAGTAAGGAACCCTAAAAAGGTAGGTTCTTCAGGGTTAAGGTAGATCCCAGAACCCTCATCCCCAAGACTTCAGAACCCCTAAGCCCCAAAACGGAACATCCCACACCCCGATTGTCCCTAAACCCTAAACCGTATAGACGCTTCATGCAGATCGAAAAGAGGCCCTTGAAAACAAAAAAAAAAAAAGACGTATAGGATCCTAGAGCCTTAAAACCCCAGGTCCCCAGATCCCAGAAGCGCTAAAGCACCTAGACCCAAACCCTATTTCGGAGCCCTCGCTCCAACCCTAGGCCCTACACCCGCAACGTACGTGCACAACGTTGCAGTTTTAGGCTTTCGAACGAGCTCCCTGCGGTGCGACATTGTCAGCTGGGCGGGTGGGACACCCGCAACCTCGCCTGTGGACATAGTTGCCAGCCATGCGAGAGGGAACAAACCACCCACAACAGAGATCCCTGAAGGAAGCCTTCAGATCCCTGAGCGACCCCTTTAGCTTTAAATGTCCCGCAACCCCGAAACCTCCAAAGCCCTAAAAGCCCTAATCCCCATGCAGAGCCCAAGGTTCTCACAATGATTACCAAGAGTATACCTCAGCGTTCCTTATTATATGATTCAATTTCAGTATACTATAGTACTACAGTATACCCTAGCTTTCCTTATCATATTAATAACAAGTATACGATAGTACTGCAGTAAACCCTAAACCCTATACCCCATACCCAAGGTTCTCGCAATCCCAGCGTGCGGCCTCTCTCGCTGTACGTTGGCGCCACGCACCGAGCGGAGGTTGCCTCGGAGGTGCGTCGGGGAAAGGGGCGGTTTAGGGGTTTAGGGTTTAGGGGTTTAGGGTTTAGGGGTTTGAGGGTTTAGGGTTTAGGGTCGCAATAGGCATGGATGCCAAAGGGTTTAGGGGGCATTTAAGGGCTGATCTAAGTCTAAGGGTTACCAGCAGGTGTTCGAAGGCTTTGTGGAGTTTTGTGGGCTTTTGCGCCGTGTGTTGTGGGGGGTTCTAAAGGTGAGTAGGACTTAAAGGGAAGTTCCAGTAATGGATGTATGTAAAGGTTCTTACTATACGTTTTAGTACAACGGGTTACCCTGGGCGGCACTGTAGGGGTTTCTATTATTCATGGCCTTGCAGAAGAGCTGCTGCCTTCTATCAGGGCTTTCATACGGTTACTTTAACTTTTCAAGGCTACTGTAAGGGGAGGAGGGCTCCTGTTGTTGTGCAAGCGTGTAAGGTTTACTTCTCAAGTTACTAGAAGTCTTTGGGCTTCTTGGATGCTGCGTGGCTGCGTGGGCAGCCTTCAAGCTTTTCGCACGTATTCGGATGCCTTCTAAATCCGAACAGCTGACTCTTCAGGCAAGCTTCAGGGCAGAGGGGGTTTCGGGGCTGCAGCTGTTGCCAGTAACTGGTAGAGTTAGTCTGCCGAGCGTTTCAGGCTTTGTGGTCTAACCGTTTGCGTGGGGCTTTGAAGCTTTGACGCCTTTCTTGCTTTCAGGTCGAGGGGTCTGCTCCGTAATCTATTCGCGGCTTTTAGGGTGTTGCCTTCTGACCCTGGAATGCATCCCCCTGTGGCGGCAGCGCAACCCTTTGAACCTTATGGTTGGCATTCTTCACAAGTAATCCCTTGAACAGCAGCACCTTGGTCTCAATGATTCGACATATTTCTGCTTCAGAACCTTTCGATACCTTCAGGACCAGAGATTATTACAGGAGGGAGCTTCGCAACACCACAGCAAAGCTGGGCCTTTGCTATCTTTGGGCCGGTTTGATACAGATTTCGGTGGGACATTACTGTAAGGGCTTAAATAATTACTAATTTCAATACTATTTTGGGGTTTCCTTATCATTATTAGAGTATAATATACGCCAAAACCCTACTCTATTTATTGCGGCCCTTATATTACCCCCAAAGGCTCTTTGGGGTTGAATCATCACCATAAGACCTTGGACGAGGGTTTAGGGTTTAGGGGTTTAGGGTTTAGGGTTTTATTGCATCTCTAGCACTTTAGCTGCAGGCGTCTGAGAATGCTATGGGCCGCTTGACCTCTCTCAAAAACATAGAAGGCGATTGCGACGCCGCCTTCAACTGCTTCCTCCACAAGTGCGTCGACTTGGGGGATCAATCATTGGAGAGTTTACCCGACATCCACCGTTTTGGAAGAGACCTGGAGCGCCCTCCAGAGGCTGCGCCTTCCCCGCCGATGCCCAAACGAGCATCGGGCAATAAAAGAAAGCAACTTGCAGATTCTTCTCAGAGAGTGGAGAAGGTCAAACACGGCCCGTCAGACAACGTCCAGAAAGAGCATTTATCGAAGCAGAGCAAGAAAAGGACCAAAGCTCGGAAATTCAACAGGGCGCGCTTCGACCGTGCTGTTGAAGCGGCAGAGCGGAAGCGCGCTGCTTTGGTTGGAGGCTGGCGGGATCTCGGAAGAGGCCGCAAGAGGAAGGAGATCGACCCAAAGGACTTCACCACATCGGGAGAAGGTCAGAGGGTTTTTGCGAGCAACTTCCATGACTGGCTTCAAGATCGTGGCCTCGCAAAATGCTTGAGGAGGGATGCAAAGAGGGATCCTGCAGCCGAGCTGGGTATTCCGAGCAGGCCTTTCATGTACTTCAAGTACAAGGCTCCGAGTGCGAAGAAGAGCACTTTCTGGGCTTCCAATGCGCGGATAAGGCCAGGCCGTGGGTGGCAAAGGGCGTATCACGGCACCTGGTTCTACGGATTGGGCAGCATCTTGCAGCATGGAGTGCTCTTAGAGTCAGTGACTTAGTTCCCCAATACCCAGCCTTCAAACTTTTTGTGTTCTATAGTTGATTAGTAACCGGATCCGCTTAACCTTTCATTTCTGTGGCTTATACGGGAAGTAAGGTGAATGAGGATGCTGGCCATGAGTTCTGGAAGCCAGGTCTCTACCTGACACCGAAGCTGGGGACGGCGACCTGGTATGGCAGAGCTCAGAGAGTCTTTGCGGATGACATGTTCCACCGAGCCATCGTCGAGGTGAAGTACGACCCGTCGAAGAAGAAAGTCTATCGAGAGCGGGGTGGTGGTCAGATCGTGGTGACGAGCGAGGCAGCTGCGATCACCGGCATCATCATTCAGCCCAACTCTCCGCCGATGAAAGGAGAGGAGAGGAGTGACCGCTGGGACCCCGCGCTGGAGTGTTGAAAGGGTGAGAAAGGGTGCGCATCGCTTCCTGATACTTTCGGAAGTGAGGACGCCGGCCGGGGGGGCCTTCGTAGAGGGTTTGAACCTTGCAGGATTCTGCAAAAAGAGGACCCCTACATGACTGGTTGTCAAAACTATGGTCCCTTTTTGGGCACCCTAAATATTAGGTGCCGTATCATTATAAGGACCCAAAAGGGGACCCTAACATTGACAACCACCCACATGAGGTGTTAGCGTTGGCTTGCGGTTTCTGGAGCGCTTCTTCGGGGTCCCCCAGAGCAGTGGCTGAGTTGTCAGTGGAGACTACGGGGGCCTTAATAGTACCTATAGGACCTACATTACTATGTTGGGGTTCTTTTTTAGGATTATAGGACCTATACTACTATTTTGAGGGGTTCTTTATTAGGATTATAGGACCTATACTAGTATTTTGGGGTTCCTTATTAGGATTATAGTACAGTATACCCCAAAACCTTATTCTAATTATTAAGGCCCCTATATTACACCTTCGGCTCTCACGTCGGCACAGTGTCCAGAGCTTCGGGTTTGGAGCCGGGCTTGACCCCGCAAGATAGGGGCCTAAATTAAGTAGTAGTTCTTAGTAGCTGAGTGGATACACTTTACACTTTTTGGGATAGTATCACCCACTATAAAACTGAAAGTGTACACTTTTGGGGGGCTTATGAACTCAGCAACTAAGAATTAATACTATTTTAGGGGTTCCTTTTGAGAACGCTAGTATAACGGGCCCCAAAACCCTGTTCTCATTATGAGGGCCCTTACAGGAGCACCTCCCGCTCAGGAGGTGCTTGTCATCAACCGCGGCCGGCTCGTTCGGGATGTGCGCTGGGCCGAGCTTGCGGGGAAAGTGTCAGCTGAAGGGTGCTTGTAACATACGGCCTGAAATAGTTACCAATACTATTTTGGGGGGTTCCTTAGTGTAATTGCCGTATAGTGGGCACCAAAACCTATTCTAATTATTAAGGCCCCTGTATTAAAGTTGCTTGACCCTGTCGGTAAGAGACTGAGAGGTCATAGGAGATCAAAGCAAGACTTGTTGCTTTGCCCTCAGTGTTGTGGAAGGACTTGTTGCCTTGCCCTCAGTGTTGTGGAAGACAGGCACTTTACCATGGCACTGATGGCGATGCGCCATCCCTCCTATCCGCCACGCGCCCGAAGCTTTCTGTTTCCCGCAGTTCGGGTTCAATGAAAGAGTCATTGGTAAAGCTTGCAAAGAAACTTCTTAACACATAATTAGCACGACCAGTTTGGATTGCCTAGACGGAGCTGATGTTTGGGATGTTAGACATCTTGGCACGAAGTCGACAAATCTCATATTGCATGAATCCGGGTCTCCTGTCAGGTCGCACAAGAAGCATTGAAGCTTTAGCATGAAGATAGGGCCAAGGCTAAGTTGTCAGAGTTGAGGGTATAATTGACTAGTAGAGCCAGCTCGAGTCTACAGCATAGTACCGGCGTTGGGGTTTAAGGTATTGCCGCTAGAACAGCTTCATGCCGGCTTCTTTTGCGAGTCTCAAAACACCAAGGTATACGTTTGTGGATCAAAAGACGCCCGGTTGCAACAGTGATTGCTCTCTGCTGGATATCCTTGAACTTTTCGGCTTGATCCTGGAACCCAAACCAAACCCTGAACAGTCGCTCTGCATGGCGCTTCCAGCAGCTGCACCCTTGCAACCAAATGAAAAGCCGGCGAAACCACTCGCGACTTTCGTGCGAGCCCCATGCAGCGATTTCACATCTGTACTTGATTGTAGTAACGCTGATAACGGCAATGCAGTCGAGACATTTTTCAGTGATGGCTTCAGGCATAAGAGGAGGAACAGGCGATGTTACATGGAATGCTATGCCGAGAAATAAAGGAACCCTAAAGTCTAAGCCCTAAGAAAGATCTTCATCGTTTTGTCATCCTCAGCATCATTCAAACGATGGCTTTAGCAGCAATCGTGCTCATGACAAGAGTGTCCATGGGAGTAGGTTTTCAGCGTGCAGGGTTCAGGGCTTGTCATCAAGCCCGACTGAGGAAGCACATGCCCTATGCGGACATGGCCTTGTACAGGGCCGCCGTCATGATGCCGTGGGATCTCAATTTGGCCCATGAGTCGCAATTGGTAATGAGGGAAACTTTTACGGCTTCTCCTCAAGTCCATCACTCTGAAATTCAGAACCTCGCAATGGGAGCCCAATTTCGCATGGTGAGAACCCGACACTTTCGTAAATGGGAGCCCAAGTGCATAGGAATTCAAAGCCGGAGCCTCGAAGTTCAAAAGGCACAAATCGGCGTAATCAAACCACCAGCGCGAAACCAACATCGCCGCCATCGTCACATATCATCTCCATCACCCTCAATAGCGCCGAAATAGAACACGAGGGCTTTCGCAACGCGCCGTCGACATCACAGCCCCTCGCATTCCAGCTCAGGTTATGTTTCACGCCGCGGCCCTAAGGGACAGGTTTTCGTCGCCAGGTCTTTTCTTCCGGCGGTCGGGTAGCAGAAGTTGGGCCAGAGCACCTCCTGGATCATCATAACGGGGTGTGGGTGATTTTGGAGAAGTGTGGCAAGGGTTGCAATCGCATCGCATCCCCCGCTTGCGGCTTCTGAGCCAGACCCTAGGGGTCCCCATTAAGTTTCCCTCCATTTCCCCTTGGAATGTAGGGTTTCGAGCTTAGGGTTTAGAGTCTAGAGTTTATGGGTTGGGATGTAGCGGCAATCCAGGCGAAGTGCGAAGCCTGTTGCAAAAAAGGGTGGGTGAAGAGAAAATGACGGGGCAAGGCCCTGAACCCAGGTCGCATGAGCTTCAGCATGCTAAGCACGTGGAGGCTGCATCCAACAACACCTGTGCAGAGCAGCAGGGGCAGAGAGACAGCGCGAGAGAGAGAGAGGGAGGCGGACTGCTCAAAAACCAAAGAAGAAACGAAGAAGAAAGTGAGGAAGAAATATGCCAATCCATTCGCATTTTGGAGTCGTTGGCATTGCAGAAGCTAGAGAACTCCTTTTCGAGAACTTAGGCCTAGAGGGTCCAGGCTTAGCCGTTTGGGAGTGCGGCGACGGTAACAGTTCAGGCTAGTCTTGTCGCCTGCAATCGTTACAACTCGCTGCTTGAGGCAGTTCTTGAGGATATATCCGCATGGAGCACCGTGAGCATGTCAGTGAATCTCGTGTCTGTATCACTCGGCTTATTCTTGTGACTGGCATTGGCTTTTCATATTCGCACTCGCATGGGTATCTTCATGGTTGTGACTCAATGGAAATCGTTATGCTTCATGTCCTCATGGACCAAGAGAGCGGGCTAGAGCTTGAATCTACAGGCATCCGACGATCAGAACCCAAAGTCAACCCGAGGATCTCTACGCCATGAACTTGCCGCTCTTCCTTCCCGACCTCCCCGGCTTGCATCGCGTGGCCGCCACGTACTTCTCCCGATTCAAGATGACTCTCGCCCAGGCTAAATGCTTTCGGATTTCTCGTTTCCCGATCCGGAGTGGCGTTTCGTTCGGGATATCCTGTTTGAGATCAGTTTGTGGTTCGCCGTGGTGGGCGGAACTTGGTTTTGAATTCGACTGCCGAAGTGGTGTGTGATGTAGCATGGCTCCACAAGCGCAATAGCGTGAACAACTATAGATCATGATAGAGCCGCGGTCGTCTGTGGAAGAGATCGCAGTCTGCCATATAATCCATGACTCGACTCGATATGACGACGGAAACTGTACGTACACTTTCACTACACCTGTGTGTGCCAGCGAAAAACCAGCAGCAACATGTATGAGTAGTAATGAATCAGGGGTCTGCTGGTGTTGGAGATGTAGGCTGGCCCATCAGGGTTTATTGCCATGCTTTCATATGCTTGCCTGTGAAGAGCAGAAGACGCCGGTCGGTGGTCTAACAAAAATATCTCTTACGGTAATAACACGTATCCAGACCATCCAAACCACCATTGTTGCTGCAGCAAGGAATTCGGCGCATGATGAGCAGGGGGCCCTGTGTGATGTGTGGATGTTATCGACTTCTTTAGGGGTCCTGGATGCATGCAGAGGTCCAAGGCTATGGTTTAGGTCTCGGAGAGATGACTTTCGTTTCGAGTCTCGGGTCTGGGTTGAAGTCCGGGAGGCACTGTGAGAGCGCCCCCCTGCCGAATTTGATATTTCACATTCCGCCTACTTGTAACGGGTCTTGGGACCATGAAAGCACGCGTGAGTTGTCCGGATGCATCTACGGGCTGAAGCTACGTCAATGAGACGCCAGGGCAGGGCCATGGCGTTTGTTCTGCCGAGCCATGGAGTGTGTGAGTAGACCTGAAACACCTCTGCAGCAGCATGCGCAGTCGCTGCGCCAAGAGAGGATTGAGGTCAGTGAAAACTTCCTGATGCTGTTTCCAATGTACACTGTAACGCAGGATGCTGCTCTCCGGATGACAACCCTGAAGCCTCACGAAGAGCTCTTTGCTGCTGGCGAGCTGTCGCTGTTCGAAGATGGACTAGGGAAAGCCTTGTTCGTTTCGCACCAGTGGGTCAGCCAGACTCATCCTGATCCGGAATTTAAGCAGTTTCGGGTTCTGCAAGAAGCCCTCCGAAACGTCACTGCTGGGTTGAGCCAGATCTCGATGGACACGATCACTGAGGCGGTGTTTGGTCTTGCGAAGGGAATCTCAGCGTCAGAATTTCGAGTGAGCAAGCTTTTCCTCTGGTACGACTTTTTCTCCGTCCCGCAAGTTCCACTCGTGCTGGGCGAGGGCGGGCACTGCGAAAACATTCAGCAGAGAGCAATTCGCAGCATTCCCGCCTACATCTCACGATGTCAGTTCTTCATGGCCCTATGTCCAGTGATCGACAGCCCAGATGGGTCCCAGGTGTTTAGCCAGGTTTCTTGGAGTGGTCGTGGCTGGTGTCGCGTGGAGAGGGCAGTGCGAGAGCTGTCGATTCATGGTGGCAGTTGGATCCTTGCAGCTCGGCTTGCCAGCATTGCATCTATACCTTTTGTATGTTCGGCTTTTCGTACTAACCCAAGGGATGTGGAAATTTGCGTCACGTGTATGCAACTATCCCTTAATCTTGAGAGATTGCTGGGGACCCTAAACCCTGAGCCACTGTAAGTTAGTTTTTGTTGTAGTTGAATTCGTAGCAGTCGGTAACAAGCTGGCAATGATTTTGCAGATCACAACCACGGCCTGAGCCGTCCCGGCTCACTCTAAGCTATTGAATATCTGTTGTGATGATGATGTCTTCCCTACCCGACCTTGAAGTGATCCGTAGCTATTGATTCCCGGGAGCCTACCAGTTCTTGGGTGGTGCAATGATGAGTAGGACTCTGGCCGGATGTAGTCTGAAGGAGTACAGTCACCGTATGTGTTGGGACACTATTCTTTTTGCTACAAGTCGTGACTCTTCCCACTAACGTCTCACTGGGCAGACTCCGAACATCTCCGAACCATATGCCTCGCCTGGATTGTCCGAGTGTGAACCGCCGCAACCCGAAGCCGAGGTAAAAAGTGCGAAGCACCAGGAAATCATGGCACCGTTGACCTTGGACCCACCGGGAGAGGGCACCTTCACCGTGGAACGCGACCGTGCGGCAGTTGCTCCGGTGCTCAGGCACAGGTGTTTTCGATTTAGAAGGGGTGAGACACGAAGAACGGGGCAGCAATTGTTACCTATACTGTTTTTCGGGCGCCTTATTGTAATAATTAGTAGAATATATCCCCAAACCCTATTCTAGTTATTAAGGCCCCTATATTAGACAGATCCGCTATTTGATGGCCTCTCGGAGTGACCCTGCAGAGGCATGTCTTGAAGGCGAAGCTGACCACGTACCTGGAGCAAGGCGACTTTACCAGCTACCGCATACTCCTGAACCAGCAAAGCGCCCGGTTGAGGGGCTTGCCAGCAGAGCCGAACGACGATTTGGTGCCGGGCTTCCAAGCTGTCCCGGATGCTCCGAAGCATCAGAGGGCATTGGCACAGTTCTTGCATGAGAACGGCTTCTGCCATCCCCTGGAGCGTGACGCAGCTGGCTGGTCTGTCCTGTGTTATGCTTCGATGCGGGGAGACCCCGTGCTGGTCCAAGCGCTACTCCGTTGCAAAGCAGATCCCAATGACAAAGTCACCAAGGCTCAACCACAGCTCGGCGTTGACAAGGGAACCCCAGTGCTGGGCCTCTGCACCAAGTTCAAGAATCATGAGGCCATGAGGCTGCTGATTGCAGCGGGCTCCCGGATCAGTGTGAGAGGTGTGCTTCAGACAGCGCTGAGCTGCGCATGCTACGTGGACGATGCAGAGGCGGTGCACTGCCTTTGTGCTTCGGGGGGTGACCCCAACGAGAAGAATCCCTTTGGCGTGTCCGCCTTACGCCAGGCCTGCATCACGGGCTCCTTGCATGCGATGGCTGCACTTCTGGAGCGCACTCAGAACTTAGACTTATCTCTCTCCCTGCATTGGGTGGCTATGGGACAGCGCAGCTCTGCCAAGGCCCTGGCTCCTCAGCCTTACGAGGATTTTGTGGGTTCATGATGCCAAGGCTATACTAGGTATCGATTTGGGCTGGCTTCAATGTCCCTTTTGGTTTAATATAGAGCCCTTATTATCAATGTTTTTGGGGGCCGTTGAAATCGATACCTAGTACGTATGCTAAAGAGCCCTTAGGAGAGTTTCAGAAGTGTTCGAAGTTTTTTTTGTAAGCTTTGTACCGGAGACGATGTCTTGCAGCATTTTGCTCTCTGGCAGTCCGTCGGGGATTTGAAGATACATCGAAATCAAGCAGAGAGATTTCCAAACACCATGAAACACCTGTATAGCCGTCTTTCAGGCTGAGAAATTAAGATAGGTTTCGGCAGAATTCGCAACACTGTCCCTCGATAGCCTTATAGTGCAAATAATAAGTAGAGTACAACGTACCCTGAAGGAATTATTTGGGCCTCTACATTACCCGCTCTTAGGACTTGCTTATCCGAGCTCGAGCGGACGTGAACGAGCAGTACAAGCCCAAGAGGATGAGTGCACTCGGGCTGCTGCCCGGCAGCCTTCCGGATTTGAAGGATTTAATTAGGGTTAGGGCTTAGGGTTAAGGGTTAAGGGTTTAGGCTGTGCCACACCCTCGCAAGACCCAAGACCTTGACAACTCCCGGTTGTTCAGACAGGGTTTGAGGCTTGAGGGGTTACGGGGTTCAGGGTTTTAGGGGTTCAGGGGTTTAGGGGTTTAGGGGTTAGGGGTTTAGGGGTTTAGGGTTTTAGGGGTTACGGGGTTTAGGGGTTTAGGGTTTAGGGTGCGATCTGTGCAAGGTTCTGGCGCCTTAAGGGCTTCCAGTACCGAGCCGGTCGGAGAACAACGCAGCTGCGCGGGGTAGGTCCGGGTGGTCAAAGTCCCTAAACCCCCCGTCTCGAAGCCGTATAGATTCCTTAATCAAAGGAGCCCTTTAAGGAACCCTAAACCCTCGACCGTACAGGGAAAAGAACTCAACAAAAAAGTACCGGAGGCAGCACAACCCTAAGTTCTTTATTGGGTTGTAGGGTTCGCTGTTTGCAAGACAAATGACTAGGTGGCAATTTGGGAAACTTTTTAATTTCCCTTGTGGTTCCTATAGAGGTACCTAGTCATAAATACTTTTCAGAGCCCCAAAACTACCAGCCAAATGAGCTTCCGGCAGACATTTGCGCTGACTGCTAGGTTCACTGGAAAGCGGGCTCCCAGATCTCTTGGGAGTATTTCCTGACTGGTTTATAGATTCATAAACTGAGTGTTTGAGGGTTTCTTATGCGTTGTTTTTCGGGGAGATCCGGATTAAGGTTGTGGAGGGATCCAGATAATGTGTGGAGTCTTCTGCCACTTCACCTCGTGTTTGTCGAACTGTTACCCTTGTAGTCCGTTAGTCCGAAGAGACATGAGAAGACTATGCTACGATTTGAGTTTGGAGCCCGATCGCGGGCATTGTCACCGCTACAACTACCTGTTTATGACGGTGTTGTCATTTACATACTCCGATGCTGGATGGAGAGTCCCCGGCTTCGAGAACATATGAAGCCTGTATTGCGAAAATCTCTGGCAGGCTATCATCACTATGGCGCCACCCCCCTGATGATTGCGATCATCTGCGGAAGCTTGTCTCAGAGTATTGGAGGGTTTATCACCAATGACCTCGGTGGCTTGTGTTCGGCGGGTTCGCCTTCAACCTAAAACGAGTTTGTAAGATGCAACCCCTGGGCCCTAAGCCCCAGAGACACAAAAAGCACCAGAATCCCAGGGCCATCAGGCTCATAGGTTGGGTGCGGCCCCCACTCAGTAGTAGTTGAATAGTTTTCATAATAAAGATATATTAGGACCTTAATAGTAGCCCTATTATAGACTCTTACTGTGTGGGGGCAGTGCCTAACTCATAGGGCTTACAGGGTTTGCTTAATGGCTTAGGGTTCAGGGCAAAAGTGTAGGACTTCGGTTCATGGGGGCCCAAAAGACCGAACAAACGAACCACCGGAAGGGCGCCTGTACACCAAAGTGTGGATTGTTGGGTCTCTTCATGTCTGGAGATTACGGGTGAGTTTCATCAGACCATAGGAAAGTGTACAGTGTGGGGTGTAGGATCCCCTTTTCAAGCAGTTCGCAAAATTATACCCCAACCGTTAAAGCCCGAACTGTTGCTTGGAAGGAAACTACGAAGCAGCTGCCGCCCTTATGGTCACTTGGCTCTGCGGAAGGCTTATCGGATTTTTAGGTATTGGTCAAGCTATGAACAGTCTATTTAAAAATAATAAGAACATGCGAAACAGAGAAAGTTTTTCATGTCAGCTGCATACGGCAGATTTAGAATCCTGTGCCCTATGCCGTCATTTTTTGATTGGGGGTCCAAGTGCTTGTTATGTAAAGCATTTGGAGTTTCCACCCCAAACCCCATACCCAAAATCTCAACACCCAAACTGCAGAACCCCTGAAACACCTGAACGCCTAAACAAAACCCAGCCCCTCAGCCTCAATCCCAAGTTTAAAACTTTCAAAAATCCAAAACCTCCAAGCCAAGCTCAAAAGGTCAGAGGGGCTCGACTCGACTTGCGCAACTCCCGGCGCCGGACTGCGGCCGATCTCGCGCGGGAGATGTCCTCGCCAGACTACCTGTGCCCTGGTGTTTTGGGGGTCTCGGGTGGAGGTTTTGTTAGGTTTATGCCTTGTAGGATTTATGCTAGTAATTACTAGAGAGTCTAAACAGTCTAAATAAGCCTTGCAGGGTGTCGGTTTAGGGTGGAGGGTTCGGGGTTCTCTGCAGTGAAGCTGCCAGAGCTGCTTGCTCCAACTCCGGGCGATGTGGAAAGCCTGTTGCAAACAGGCTTTGTATTGTTTCGGTGGAGAGCTCGTAGTTCTTGCATTGACATCGCCGCTGAAGGATGGCAGCGTTGGGCGGCCACATGGCGTGGTGCAACTCTCTTGTCGCGCATGCGCTGATGTGAGCTGCTCAGACCTTCCAAGTGCTCAGGGGTGGGCCGCAATGGAGAATTCCTTGGGCCTCAAACCACCCATGTTGCCAAGTTGTCTAGCTTCTGGGGCACATGTGGATCCCATAAAGCGGGACCCTTGTCTTTGCCCGCGTGCAAGTGCCAAGCACAAGGGGCCACGAGGGTTGTAGCAAACGGGTTATATAGGATCATGGATAATCAGTAGGAGTATGTAGCAGTTTCCCTGATAGTACCCATTTTTGTTTTTGGTCTGACATTGGATATGGTATTGACAGTCGTAGTAGGCATGTGATCAAAGAACCCTCGGCACCCGTTCCTTCGCCACCTTTGTGGCTTCCACTCAGCATAGCTGGGTGGCTTCTGCTGCACGAAGTGCAATCCAGCAGCCGCCAGACCCGCTACATCCCGCTACTCACTGATCGATCAAAAAAGCTGGACCCCTAGGTATATACCCTTAATATAGCTATTATATACCAATTATCTAGCCCCATTATAGGGTAGTAGGGTCCCCATTGAAGGTCCCTTGGGGCATCCAGAGACTACCAGTTTACCGCAACACCCGCTCGATCCGGAAAAGGTATACAGGCGCCCCAAAAACCAGCCAATCCGTGAGCACACCAACTTCGGAAACTCCTTCTGAGTCTCACCGCAACAGCGAAGCTGAAGCTGAATGTCTTCAGGGTTATAGGAACATGCTACCGAAGAACACCTGTGTATGTTGTCAACCTCAAATCGTAGTTTCTATGAAAACGCAACATGGCAACGTGAACGGCGACCGAAGAGTCTGGATTTATATAGTTTAACGGCCATCAGGAATTCATAACCATGTGGGCCGTATTGTAATTTTCAGTCCGGCTGCTGCCTACTAATTACAGGCTTTCAGCCCAGCACACCTTGATTAACTTTGTCCGGAAGCCAAAACCAGAAAGCCAACAGCTCAAGCCCCAAAAATCTGAAATTGGAAACATACTAGACCCTAAACCCGAAACTAAGAACACTATATAGGCAAAAAGTATAGACCCAAAGCCTAAGCCCGAGCCCCCATAGCCGTGAACACACAGAGAACCAGAAGACGGCCGGAAAGGCAGCCCTTTGGTGAGCAGATGATCAGTGGGCGCAACTCACCCCATCCGCCACTCGTTTCAGCAGGGCTGTCTCAAGATAACTCTAGATGTGTTTTGAGGTGAACTCCCAACACGAAACCAAAGCACTCATCCGACGTGTCAAGTGTGCGATGCTAAGGGCAGAGCAAGCACGAGGCATCCCAGTTGGGCTTAAGGGTAGATCGCTCAACCCTAAAACGCTGCAGCCGTCACCCGAAAACAAGTTCCCGCAACTTGATGCTTCGGATTAAGGCCGGAGGACTGCGGTTCAGGCTGGGCTGTGGAAGGCAGCTCAAGGTTAGGGATGCCTTGTTTAGGAGTCCTATTACAAGGATCGAGAATAAGCGTCCCTCCCTCTAAACCTCACAAGCTCTGAAGACCCCCAAAACCCTGCAGCTCTATGGCGCACAGGGCCCGAAAACTCAACCGACACCTATAGCCTATCGACTAATGGGCCAACTAATGGACTCGAAATGACCCGAAGCCTTAAACCCTTAAGCCCTGCAGCAGCTCCTGCAGCCCAACCGCCACACTCGCGACCGCTTTGCAGGCTCTTAACGCGGTTAGGCAAAGCCCAAAAGCCCACCGCAAACCCTAGAGTTCCTCCTAAGCACTAAAACTCTAAGCCCTGAGCCGAAAGCCCCCAAACTTGCAGCAGATACCGAGGTACTCGCCCTTCGAGCTGGAGCACTTGGAGGTTTCATCGGGCCAGCGTTTGCAAGGGCTTAGAGTTTAGGGGTTCGGGGGTTTAGGGTTGGAGCTTTGGCCAGGGTTTCTGAGGTTCTGGCCTATCTTTTTGGGATCCGGGCTTAATGTTGGACCTGGGGTTCGCTTTGAAGACCTAATATCGGGGCCTAAAAAATTACCAATACCATTTTGGGGGGTTTCTTTTTAGAATTACAGCATAATGGGCCGCCAAACCCTATTCTAACTACTACGGCCCGTACATTATAGTACCCTTGTAGACCCCTTGTAAGGGAACCCTAGTCTAACAATTACCTATACTGTTTTCCTTATTATAACTATAGTGTAATGGCCCCCAAACCTGTCCTTGCAAGTACCAAGGAAGCTTTAAGGCGAGGGTTTGGAAGTTTGGTCTTCGGGGAATGGAAACATGTTGACCGTCTAATGCCTGTTCCATCAGGGACTTCAACGAAGCTCTGAACCAACCAAAGCGGCTTCGCAGCACATGGTCGCATCGAAGGTCTATCTGCTTCAATTGATTTTCGAAGCAAAAGCTGCTACCACCATAGCACTACTGTACATGTTGTTCAATGAAGAAGCCGTAAACCTCGACACTTGAATGATGTCAGATGGAAGGAGCCCAGAGCCCTCAAACCTTGAGCTCTAAACCTGTAGCTATGTCGGTAGGCTCTCTAAATGGAACAAAAGCCATCAGTGCTTCCCGAAAGAAGCGGTGCGCCTTGAAGGCCAGGGACTACTGGCTTCAGTTTACCGCGGCCCGGCAGACGTTGAGGGTGTCGATTTTGGGGTTTTGGGTGTCGAAAGCCTAACTAGGTGGTATAAATTGGGTGGGTTTAGGCTGGAGGGACCCAAGCAACTAAAGACTCTTTTGACATTTCCCATCTTCTACCTTCAGAGCTCCATCATTGTGTAAAGTCGATGCAGGGTTTTGGGGCGCGTTTAGGTTCTCGGGCCCCCAAATGGATGCTTCGGGTGCTCTTTGAGTCCCAAGAGCTCACAGAAGGCTGTCCGCGACACGTGGTGGATTTCGGTGCATGAGCCGTTCCTTATCCGGTAGTGCTAACTGAAAGTGCTCCAGCTAAGCTGGTTTAGAATGTTCGGATGAGATTCTAAGTTTGTTGTTTGATGTGTCAACCATGGGGGGCCTGTTACTGCTGGCTGTGTGCGCGGAGGCTTTGTCCGCGCTGCTGACGGTTGTTCGGGCGTCTTGGGAAAACTCCCTGGCTCGCGTTGATAAGTCCAACTTTCGGGTGCTGCTAGCTCCGCCACAGTCCAGAAGTAATGAATCAGACCCTGATACCCTCAGCACCCTTGGAGCCTACAGGCCTTTAATCCAAGCCCGGACGCCCGTTGACTTGCAGCTTCCGTAGAGCTATATATCAGGGCTTCACCCCTTGACAGGCTTCAAAACCCCCAAAACTCCTATTCTAACCCAGTAATAATTGGACTGGGGTTTTAGGGGGTATAGATGTATATATATATATATATATATATATATATATACATATACATATAATACCATAAGTATAATTATAAGAAGGAGCTCCAGGCCCACAGCTCACATCCCAGGAGTACCTGCGGGCTCCTGCAGTTGGGAGATTTGCTGGGCTTCCTGACCTGCTGTTGCAGGTGCCGACGGGTTTGCGGCGCCCCGATGCTTCGAAGTCTGCGTCTTTGGTTCAGAGGGTTTTGGGTTATGTGGGGCCGGGATGGGAATTGTACCAACGGGTGTCGTAGAGAGTACATGGCCCGATTCCTTCGGGTGTGGTTTCGGCTTAGTTTCCGGGCTTTTAGCCGTAATGACCTGGGCCCGTCGACCCAGAGTACATAGATGCTCGGGCGGTCACACAAGTTGACTTTGGTTCTGTCCAATCAGAAAGTCCAGCTTCAAAAAGTGCGTGCAAAAACTATTGACGAACACCTACTTATTGAACCCGTTTTAGAGCTTTCGTACAGCCGTTATGGATCCACTCTAGAACACGTATGGGGGAACCCTGAATGCCCAAGCTTAAGGGCCCCACAGCTCTTATCTTACCTTTGGTTAGTAGGGAATGGAAGAATGGTAGTAATAGTAGTTATAATTGTACCCCACTCCTCCATTCCCTACTAACCTAAGGTAAGTTGTAGGATTATTAAGGCCCCTATGTTATAGTACCCTTATAGATCCCTTATAGTAACCCTTATAGACCAAAGGTAAGTTATGCAGTGACAGGTCGCCAACCTGAACGGTCCGGCGGTCTCTGCGGCAATGCAGGACCAGAACAAGCTCTCCTTTCAGCAAAGCCAGGCAGCGGAGGGTGTGGGGCCTTAACGGTAAACCACCCTGTAATAGTGGTATAGTAGGAATATAATAGGGCCCTAATATAATCCTTGTAGTCACTATTACAGGGTGGGGGCAGCTTCTAAGGTATGAGGGCCCGGGGTACTCAGAGCCCAGTACCCCTTTTTTAAGGAATATACCTTAAATTACAAGGGGATTCATATTATGATTTAAGCTATACTCCCTAATGAAAGGGTATTGGGCTCTCTGGGTAGCTACTTTGGGGGTTTAAGAGCTTCAGTGAGGCAGACCCCGGCTTCAATGCCGGGCCAGGGTTCACGATCAGCTTAGTAGTAATCTGTCATAAGAATAATAGTAAGTAACAATAATCACAATAGTTAGTAAATAGTAACAATAGTCATAATAATGGTAAATGGTAACAATAATCATAATAATTGTATATACATATACATATATATATATATATATATGCAGTCTTTCCAGGTCTGAAGAAAGTGAGGCTTCTTACGAGCGACACAGTTGCAAGAAACGACAGGCTGCAAATCCCAAACGCTGCACCAGAAAGCCTAAACTGTAAACATTTTCGACTATCACAGCACCAGAGACCTCGTCAGGCTTGTCCGAGTTGCGAGAGCGTAAACATTTTCGGCTATCGGAAAAAATTGAGGTCATGAGCCAGCAGTAGAGGCGACAGCCCAAGAGACTTGAAAGCAGGCGTTCTGGTCGCGCGTCCTCGGTGTTTTCCAAGATCTAGGCCGGGAGCATAGTGCGGACATGGCCCAAATTAAAGCCCTATAATCCAACATGCTGCAGGCAAAATGCCCAAAACCTCCCTGCAGGGGTGTTCGGACTGGGGTCGGATTCGTAGGTCGTAAGTTGCCCTGACTGTGGAGCTGGGCTAAGCCCTAAACCAACAATTGCTGCTTTACTTTGGCGTTGCCAGACATGTGTTTAGTCCATGCTTTTGATGTATCGAGAGTTACCGGCTACCACAGCAGGCAAACCAACAGATTACGCTTTCCTTGAAAGATCCAGAACTGCCTTCACTAAAGATGGTTGACGCTGCCGTTGGCCATTGTGCACAGCGTTCTGTACTGTGGAACTTTTAAAGATTAGGTCGGTGCGTGTACGACAGCCGTATGTTATGTGGTCAGCTGTGGTCGTCAAGTCCCTTTCTCGAAAGCTTCACCCTCGTGCTCAAACTATGCCACACTATCAATTGTATTCGGCATAGAAATCAATCCAGGATGCCGCGATGACATGGCCTATAGCCATGACAGCTACTACATGGTCTGAAAGACTCCAATATCCCTTAATTAAGGAAGAAACCTTAAACTATAGTAGGACCCTTAATATGATTTAAGGTATATTCCCCAATTATATAAGGGATATTGGAGTCTTTGGGAAACCATGGGTTACTGTAATCGGAAGAGCTGGGGTCTACGCTGCGACGGTTGGCATGTTAGACCCTGGGTCCCTACGAGTACTGGCTCGCGTTTGAATGGTTCAGCGGGCCAGTGTGTGTATATATATATATATATTTATTTATTTATTTATTTATTTGTTTATTTATTTATTTATTTATTTGTTTGTTTGTTTATTTATTTATTTGTTTGTTTATTTATTTATTGATTTATTCCTTTCTTTCTTTCTTTATTTATTTATTTCTTTCTTTCTTTATTTGTTTATTTATTTATTTATCTAATTATTTATATATATATATATATATATATATATTGTTATTATTATTATTATCATTATTATGATATATATATATATATACATATACTGGCTTGTTCGGGTGGCATGCAGGTGGCCCTGCAGCTCCTGCTTTGAGGGGGGAATAGGTAGCAGGCCCCCGGCCGAATTGTCCGTAGTGGAGTGAAAAGGAGCAATTCAGTCGAAGCATTCTGCGTGGACATTGCGAACAACTTCTCATACCTGCTCTTGCACCGCTTGTGTCAAGCCGTAATTTAACAACAGCCCCTCCCCCTTCCGACTACCCTTTCGCTGAACCTCATGTGCAGGTCTGCCAGCCTCAGCAGCCAAAGATGCAGCACCCGATGGGGCCTCGGTTTCACGACTCGCTGCTTAGGTTTCGCTTTGGGATCACAAATTGTGGGGTTTAGGTTAGCTGGTTTGGGATCGGGATTGCTGTTTGGGACTTTTGGGGTGCCAGGAGGTTTCGGATGAAACGTGTGCAGTAGGGTCGTCACATGCCCAGTCCTTCCAGCAGGCAGGTGACATGAGAGAGCCTCAACACGAGGCTGGGTGAGGGTTTGGGGCTGACAGATCAGGGTTTGAGGGTTTAGGAGGAATACGGCTTACGTTAGGGGTTGAAGGGTTTACGGGTCCCCATCCTGGCAATACTTCCTTAAATAGGCCTGATGAGGTCCTTATTATGGGCATTAAGGCCCCCTCCCCTACCCCCCTAAAAGTCCCTGTGAAACAAATCCTTGCCACGAAGGTCTGGCACTTCAAAACCCCCTGGGCCGACTCTCTCTGCTGGTCGGGGGGGTTGTCGGAGGCGCCGCTTCTTGGACGGGGTCTTTTTTAAGTTCGACGGGCTCCTCCGTGATTCAGTTACTTCAGAGGGGTTAGGGTTACTGCCACGAGGCAGATAAAGTCTGTGCAAAAGGGTTTGGGGTTGAGTCCAGTAGCAATAAGGCTTAGGGTTCTGCGCTGTTTTCGTTGGAAGGCTTTGGGAATTCAGACGATGGGCTAGCATCGCAGCTGCCAAGGTCGTGGGGTGTGGGGTCTGAGGTTCTTGCACAAAAAGACGTTTTCAAGGCGTTGAACTTGGAGGGTCGGGGGACTTAGTAAGTAGGAAGTAAGTAGACTTATAAGTAGCCTAAAAGGGACCCTCATGGGGGTTATGGGACTTATAAGTCCTTAACATAACCAGTTACTAAGTCCCCCGAACCCCCAAGAAGGGTCTTTGACTTTGGGTTCCAAGAGCTGCCTTTTGAGTTGTGCAGCCTCGCCACACCCTCTAAAGCTTCACCCAAAGGGTTCCCAGTTACTCTGCTGTAGGGTTTCATGGGCCGCCCCATCCCCCCCCCCTCCCGGAGTGAAACAAGACCTGTAAACGGCTGCAGCGCCAGGCAAAACTGCTGAAGTGCTTAGACAGTTCGGACGGCTGGATCTAAGCACTAGGCCGTATCGTGAGAAGATGTGAGCACTTGACCACACACCGAAGTGAGAGCCTAAACCATATCCCCAGAGACTCCAATCTCCCTTAATGAAGGAATATACCTTAGATACTATCAAGGATCCTACTATTAATTTACGGTATATATTCCTTAACTAAGGGATATTGGGTCTTTTGGGTCGTGGGCTCCGGGCCCGGATAGACCAAGTACCTGCTGCAGAGGGTTTGGGAGCAGAGGCTCCCCGGATCATATGCCTGACCTTCTTCCCTTCCGGGATGTAGACCAAGGATGTACTGTAACCACCTATACTGACCTACTGTGCAGTCAAGGTATCGTAACGAACGCCTTTGTGCCAGCACCCCTCCTTTGAACCGACATCCTTCGCACATCACTCGGCCAGACTCATCCCTCGACCCGTGACCCGTCTCGCCTCGCGTGTCGAGTGTGATCAGCGATACCCTTAACAAGCAAGTTCTGCCCGGGTCCTCGCCCGATTCCCGTTGCGAGTGCCAGAAAACACTCCTCAACCCTAACACCCCGAATCCGAACCTTCAAGGGTTTAGGGTTAAGGGTTATTTAATGTCCCCTGGGCATGGCTGCCGGCATACACTCAAAGTCCGTGCTTGAAAAGGGTTATTTAATTAAGGGTCCTTTGAAGGCGCGTTGCTGCGACCCCGCCTTCGGAACAGTTGGAGCGCCTGGCCATCGGGCAGAATGTGATCTAGTGTTTAGGCTGTTTAGGTTTCAGTGTGTTGGCTTTGAGTGGGGTCGATATCCTAAAAATGTTTCAGGAAGTATTAAAAATGTATTATTGCTATAACACTGCGGGTTGATCATTTGGGTTTCGCCTATACCAGTTTCAGCCATCTGACTGACCCTAGCCTGTGCTGAGGGAGCCAAAGCTACCACCCCTGCCTAACCTAATGTACTTGGAGGGGGTGTTACATGGTTGTCTGGTGGTGCGAAGCACATTTCCGCTTGCTCCGACGGGCCAGTAGAAATCCAATCCCAGTACATTTGTTTTCCGTGGGACATTCCACCTGAGATCATGTACTTGGGGGTCTTCGGTCATGGACCCCTGGAGCAACGAACAACAGCGAAAAATATATTTGACTAGGACCCAGAGTAGGCCCTTATTACCTTTTTTAGGGTTAAGGTTTTCTTACAACCCCCTTGAAACCCAAAAGGGTACCCTTTTTATTCCTAGGTTACTCTTGGGTCTAGTTGAAGGGTTGGTGCAGGACCCCCCAAGTGCATTCGTTGTTGGGGGTAGTGCCAAAGCTCCGGTCCTTGAACCCCCTTGCAGTTTTTTGAAACCATGTGGCCCTCACGCCGATATGGCCCAAAATCCCAATGCCATCCAGCCGTTTGTCACTCCATTGCCAATGCCCGATAGGTTGAGACAGTGGAACATCAACAAGAAATTGCCACAAAATGGAAACCAAGGCTGCTTTGATGACTTCTGGACCTTCCATCGCTGCCCGGTGAGGAATCAATCTGTTGATTGCTTCGAGTCCCATGTTGAGGCTGCTTGCGACTTGGGGTTGGGACTTTCGACCTGGCTGGAAAATCGGTGTGCTAGACAGGTTCTAGGATTGGGAATTTGCGGCTTTACCCAGCATAACTATCATGTCTATGTGGCTATGTAGGATCACGGAGATCCTTCTGGCTCCACCTGTTATGATAGCTTAGCTTTGCCAGGGCTGCCGACTCTTAGAGTAATGCTGTTGTAAAAGTGTTAGGTCTAGTCTTGTTGCAAGCCTTTTTATCAGCAGCCATAGTGCTCGTTGTTGTAGCTTGTCCTTCTACCGATGCTTCTTTTTCTGTGCCGCTGCATCGATGGTGCAGCTGATGATGTTGATGATGATGAGCAAATTTACGGCTCATGATGAACCCTAAACCCTAAACCCCTAAACCCCAACCCTGAGGATCGTCGAACCTACTTCTTCAGACCTTGCCAGGCTTGTCCGAGAGTGAGTGTCAAAAAAACCAAGCCTTTGTAAATCTTTAGTCTCGAGTCATCGGTCATTGGAGGCGGGGGTTGTTATGTCGCTTGGGCATCGCATTAGGCGTGCTGGCGACGCATGTAAATTGCTGATTAACAGATTAGCATACTGTTGTTGACAATCCGAGGATTGGACATCCGAGGTTTCATGGAAAGCATGGCCGCCTCCAACCTAAGCACAGCTTCCAGCACTGCACCATGAGTCGTGTAACAGTCCCCGAAGATAATTCGGAAGATTGATCCCTGATGCCTGGAAGTCCTCGGCTATATTGCTTAGCTACGATGCTATGGCGCTTCGGCCACCCGGCAGAGCGTAGTGCCCGGCCCTACCTAAACCCTACAACCTGCTTCTGCGGATCCCAAGCCCCAGCATCACGAACTCGACACGAAAAACCAGGCTGTTGCGTGCAGAATCTGTCGTTCCCACCCCTGGACGATGCAGCTTGTGGCAGTGGCAGCTCAGATGGCACGAAAGCTGGTCAAGTGCTTATCAATTCAAAAGGGGTGACTTACAAGGGGTGACGTGGTTTTTGTGGTTGCCCGAAAAGGCCGGAATTGAGGGAGGACCCTAAGTTACAGAGTTGCCCACATGAAGATGGCTTGAAGACTTTATGAGCATAGTTGCAGAGTGTCGCCGGGAACTCCAATATCCCTTAATCAGGGAATATACCTTAAATCATATTAAGGATCCTACTATAATTTAAGGTATATTCCTTAATTAAGGGATATTGGTTATTCGAGTTTCTGGATCACCGGGAACAAGCGAACCAGGAGTTCCGACGACCTGGGCTCGAAGCTACCCCTGAGCGAAGCCCCACTTTACACCCTCTGAATGACACCGGTTGAGGGTTTAGGGTGTAAAAGGGCCACGAGTGCGATGTGCTTGGGGATTCTGGCCGGGCGAGCACTCATCGAGCCTGTGGAAAAAGGGTGTACAAGGGCTGAGCCGCTAGCCGGCGGGGCAGCAGCAGAAGCCTTCGCCAAGGCGGGCCCTACGGCACGACGCTGGTCTCTCCTCTTGATGGCCCTCCTTGGGTTCAGGACCATAGGGTTTAGGGTTTAAGGGTTTAGGGTTTAGGGTTTGTTTAGGGTTTAGGGTTATTTCCTCCGACTTTGAGGCTGCAGTTTAGCCGTTTTCTGATTTGGGAATTCATGCTCGCGGCACCTGGAGCACGGCTTTTTCAAGAGAGGTGCAGGTCCTAAACCAAGGTTCTTGGTTCTTGTCAGGAGTGATCTTTCGAGGAAAGCTGCAGGACATTACGATTTCATTCCATGTCAGCCTCCTCGACCAAGCTTCCTTGTCCCAGCTACTGCCTGACACATTGGCGCGGGCTCAAGCGATTTAGGGACTCTGGGCATACCGCGCGGCTGCTTGCTGTAGACTTTTGGACTCATCATGCCCGAGACGATGGAGATCAGCGATGCCGCGAAGTCTGGCGACGGAACCACGACCAACGTGGGAATCAAGATGACGGGCACCTTCCAATGCCCGGAATGCCGCCAGAAGTTCGACTCCGAAAAGGCGAAGCAGCTCCACTGGAAGTTCATCCATGACCCAAACAGGCATCAGGAGGACTGAGCGCACAGATCCCTGAACAGCTCCGACAGAACTTTGAAGCTGTCGAAGTTTTGGCTTTTGGTCCTCCTTTTTAAACGGTGCACTCCTTTCGAACGGTGTGGCTCCGGGCTCTTGCATAAAGTGTCCACGGATCATCCGTTGATAGACTGTGGTGCCGGCGTCCAGGCAGGCTCTCGGAGCTCGTGAAGAAGCGAGTGCGAAAAGGTCGGTGGGCGTTTTTGCCTGCTTTTGTCCGTCCCACGGGAGATGCAGCAGAGAGAGATCCCACCTTGCAAAGCCCCCCGAGGGCAGAAAAACCCAGCCCTCAAGCAGATCTGTAATGCCAAACTCTCTTCTGCTCTGCCTTGTTACGTTTTGCTCTACCCGCTCTACCCTCCTACTTGCTCTAACCCTAAACCCTAAACCCTACTTGTACCCGTTTGCTCTAAGCTCCGAGTTCTTTGCTCGCGATCGCCGATGCACAGGAGCTTCCCAGCCAAGAGGAGCCCTTCGTCTTCATCTGGGATGCCGCTGACTTGCACTTTGACTCTACTTCAGGTGGGTTTACGTAGGGTTCCGGATTTAGGATCTGGCTGGTTTCCAAGCCCAGTTGCAAAAAGAGGTTGAGGGAGAATGGGTTCATGTATGGTCAGTGTGGGGGTGGGCTAGGATGGGCTGCGGCGCGGGGTTCCAGGTTGGTTGAGGATTTACTCTCGGGTTAACCCGGTTGTTAGTATCCAGTATTAAGTATGAAGAAAAGTCGAAGGCAGAACGTTGAAACTGGGATCCGTATTGTGGCGACGCCCGCGCACAGAAAGTAACCCAAGTTGTCCGAACCCCCAGCCCATGTAGCTCCGGCTCAAGTACATGAACGTCACAGCTGGCATGGCATTGTGTCGTAAAGACATCGCTCTCACGAAGCCGGACTGCCGCCTAGTTCAGCATTCTGGCATGAGGAAGGTTCATAGTGCCAGGCAGCCATGTAGGATGAGGCACTTGTGTAGCCGGCTTTTCTGCAGGGCATTTTCACGAAGTCTCGACGACTTTAGCTGAATTTACTGCACCTTCTGTTCAGGGTTGATGCACGAGTAGAGGTTATGACCAATGGTGAGCAGACGATCTCTTCGCGAATTTGTGGTGTGGGTGACGCTGCTGCAACATGTGGCTGTTCTCCAAGCACTGGAAATGCTGTTTTCGGGCCCCGGGTATTCGCACACCTATCGCAACACATGGATGGGCTGGTACAGCGCCGGAGGCTACATCATGGATTCTGCTGGAGTCATGCTGTCCGGGCGTGATGGCAAGACACCCGCCTACGACACTGCAGGTTTGGTCGGAGTACGCTTCGAGGACACGGCCGGAGGCTTCATTGAGTTTCAGCTTTTCGAGAGATTCCGTGGAAGGTCGCTGTTGAGCATTGTCAATGAGTGCATGGGAAGTGATCGAGAAAACGATGGCTCTACAGCTTGGCGATCCGGGCACTGCAAGGTCGGAAAGGCAGCGAGCACCTTCGGAATCGCTGGGGCATCTCAGGAGATGGTGATAGGTTATGCTGGCTCTCATGTAGAGCCACTGAACTGGCTTCTCTTCAAAGTCCAGGAGAGCTCGGCGGGCAGAGGGCTACCCTTTGCATACGGCACACAAAACAGCACTAATCCAGGCTTTGCTGGCCGTGTGTACATCTACGGAGTGCAGTATGCCGTAGAACAGGCAGGCATTTGGAAGTCGGTCACGCGGCCCTGCCAATTGGACGAAGATGGCTGTGTGACGAGCCACAACTTTCCAAAGTTCTACGGGGCGCAGGAGCACTGCAGTATCGAAATTGAGAAGTCTCTGGCAGGCCCTCTAAATGTGACAGATTTCGACACGGAGAACAACCACGATTTCCTCACGGTGAATGGCAAGGCCTACAGCGGCTCGGCCGGACCACAAGGCATTGTTCCTGTGGAATCAATCGTGTGGAGGTCTGACAATTCGGTCTCCAAGAAAGGCTGGCGGTTGTGCCCGCCGCCTATCACGAGGAAGAAGACTGATGCCAGTGCTGATTCACCCAGTGTCTTTCGTGTTTTTCTGCCTGTGATACTCTTGGCCATGGTCAGCTTGATATGCTACTTCGGCCCCACGATGCGACAGAGCTGGCGAAGGTGGCATGCTCATCGACTGCGATTTCGAAATGATGTGGACGAGGAAGGCGTGTGTGGTGATTTCGCCGTTGACGCGATGGAGATGAGCGTAGACCAAGCGCAGCAGGCACAGTTGCTCAGGCCTTGATGTGAAGAGCTTCCAACCTAGAGACTCCAATATTCCTTAATTAAGGAAAAATTCCTTAAATCATATTAGGGGGGCCTACTATAATTTAAGGTATATTCCTTAATTAAGGGATATTGGAGTCTCGGGGCACCTGAGCTACCATCCATTCCATGTGGATCGGTGCTTGTGCTTGGGTGTCTGGGCTAGTGTGTTATGAGTGGGCCAGATACAGGGTGGTGCCTGGCGAGGGCTTCTTGAGTAGTTCATACGACGGCCATCGACGGCCTCTGATGAGTCTTTTGATGTTGCAGACGGTCAGTGCAATCCTTGCCAGGGCTCGTCCGTGAGCGTCAAAAGGAGCGGCATTGCGCTCGAGAGTGCTTTTCTAGCAAAACTCGGGAGCCGTTAAACTATGTTAAACTCTAGTTGACAATTGACGTGATTTCTCCCGGTGCACTGAGGTGACGCCTCGAACCGGTTCTCTATCAAACGATGATGACGCAGGAGTGAATGATGCCAAGAATCCTTGTAGCTCGTTCACCCAATGCCGAAAGCGATAGACGCGCACACGCCTAGCCCTCTCGTTGGTGCCGACAGTAGACGATGCTAGCGCTTCGCAACGGGCCACGGCAACTTTGAAATATGTTTCCTGATCTGTTCGTCGCACATGGAATGGATAGACCCCGAATCCCCAACTCTCCACACAACCAGTCGAAGTCCTGCCGCTTTCAATCTTCTGGTGGCTGCTTCCAAGGAGAAGTCTGGTGGCACGGCCTTCATGCAGTGGCTCAAGTACTCCGCGAGACCCTGAGCAAAAGTCTCGAGGTTCTAAACTTTACATGTGGGTGGTTGTCAAACTTATGGTCCCTTTTTGGGTACCCTAAGTATTAGGTTATTAGGTGCCATATTATAATAAGGATCCAAAAAAGGACCCTAATCTTGACAACCACCCACATACGCTCTCCAGTGAGAGCGCGAAGCCTCTACTCTCCTCGGCCCCAAACCCGAAGACTCCAATATCCCTTAATTAAGGAATATACCTTAAATCATATTAGGGATCCTACTATAATTTAAAGTATATTCCTTAATTAAGGGATATTGGAGTCTCTGAGAACCCGACGACTTCTTCGCCAAACGCGGGAGAAGAGGAGGGGCAACTGTGAGGCTTCAAACAAGAGGGGAGTTTCATAAAGTGGGACCTGAAAATCGGTCCTGAATCGTCGGATCCTGACCCTACGCCTCACAGCATGAGTATGTAAAGGGTTTATGCCCTATAAGCCCTAAACCCTATATAGATTGCAGCAGTTCGTTTCCCTCCTCGACGAGCCTCCCGGCAAGGTCTGGAAGCTGGGCAAGCTCGAGTCTTCCTTCATGCCGCCCACCTGTGTTACCTCAGGGTTCAGGGTTCCTTTAAACTTTAAAGGGTGTTATAGGGTTCTATACTAGGGTTCCTTTGCAGCGGGTTCTATCAGTGCTCACTAAACGCGGGTAGGGTGAGGGGTATGGGATCGTTACGAAGGGTTTCGAATCGGGGTTCTGGGTTGGTGCTGCAGGCAGCTGAGGTAATCGTGGGTCTCTCTTGTTCCTGGATTCAGGCGTGGGATTCAATACGTAAGGCATTGCCCAAATGCGGAACATGGCTTTTTGCCTGTTCTAGTACACGCCATCCAAATTTATTGCCTACAGACCAAGGTAACAATTTCGAGCACCCATGCACCACCACTGCGGAGCCTCAGTGTTCGTGGTTTTATGGACCCTACCTCAGCGGTAAATCCTGAAGGCCCAAACCCGAAACACGAGACTTTCAGCCTTTTCCATGATGCCTGTGCCCATCATGGTAAGGTACACAATGCCAGGCCATCCCGTCGCGGCCGAGTACTCAGCCACCGTGCGCATCAGCTCTAGGAAAAGAACTTGGAACCTACAGTAGGAACCTCTGATTGGCATTAGGCTTTCGTGTTGTCTCTTCAGGGTCTACCAAAACTTGCATCAAGCCGTGCACCCTTATTTATATCCTCCTTAGAGTCTAAAAGCTCAGCGGCCATGCTCCTTAGGGTTCTGTGGTAGTTTTCGTATCATTTTCACCCAAATTTTTTGTTCGAATGACTACGGATGCCAAACTAAACTCGAAACCCTGAAACGACAACCTCGCTTTGTAGGTGTCGTCAAAGCTATGGGAGAGGAAACTAAACCCCATACCATACAGCTCGACGAGGGGGAAAAGGGGCTCAAAACAGCTCTTAAGCTAAACCTCGAGTCCGGAAGCTCTTTGCTAAGTAGGGAGGAAAAGCCCCTTAAATCCGGAAGCCCCAGACGCCCCCTGAAAACCCGGAGAAACCCCCAGCAGGTGGGAAGCCCCTTCTATTTGAAGACCGCCGGTCCAGAGGCGAGAGCGAGGCACGGGCCCTCCGGATGTAAAGATTCTTGGGGATTTTTACTAGTACTAGTATTTAGGGTTTAGGGTGTGCATTTTAGGGTGTTCTTATTGCCAGGGTTTACGGTATACTTTTAGGTTTTTGTTGTTGGGGTGTGCGGTTTCCTTTTTAGGTTTTCTTATTCAGGGTTTCGGGGTTTAGAGCTCCCAGGGCTGTGGGCTCCGGAGTTTGGCTTGTAGGGAGTTTCAGGGCTTGGAAGTTTTTAGGGGATGGGGCCTGGCAGTTGTGGGTCCAGTCCAGTGCAGGGTACGATAATGAGGGGTGTCGATGTCAGGTTTCGGGAGTTTTGGAGTCGGAAGAGTTTATTTCCTGTGGTGCTGGGAGTTTTGACCCGGAAATCTTTGGGGAAGGGGCCATGCTAGGAAGACTCAGCTCGCTTGGCGAGGTCAGTGCAGCACGAATTTTTCCAGTCAAGATTTGGTTCCTCTGCCAAAAGACTATGTCATTATGTTTGGAGTTTAGAGTTGCGGCATCCAGGTTTTTTCAGTGCTCAAGGGGTGCTTCGTTGTAGGTAGGACTTATAGGAGCTTGCCCTGAGACCGTACGCGAGAGGAGGCTCTTCTTATCGCGAGCACAATGCGTACATATCGGGCACTCTGGCGCAAACAAGCAGTTTTTTCGGTTCCAGAAGCAGTCATGTTCCATTACTTTGGGGGTGCCTTATTACAATTATAGTATAGTGGGCCCCAAAACCTTATTCTAATTTTTTAGGCCCCTGTATCAGCATGTTCCTTATGTTGGTGAGGTGGTTCCTTTCATTTCGAAGAGCTACAGTTCACTGGCCCGAAGGCCCCTGGATCTGTTTGCTCCCGGAAGTTTAAACTCTCCTGGGCTCTTCCCCGCCCTCATCCCGCATTGAACCTTTTTCACGACAGGTTCGAAGTGGTATCTGGCCACTTCGACTGGCAGCTGGGCTGCACACATACTACGGCTTTTCGGCGCACGGATCCTTGGTGCTGGTCAGTGTGTTCGGTGTACTTGTGCAGAAGCTGCGGCTTGATTACAAGTGCATGGCTTGCACATGTCTTCTAGAAAGAGAGTTCTGCTCGGAGGGGACTGTTTCCAGTATAGAGGTCTTGGCTGCACATGGTGTCTTGCGGGAAAGCGCATCGCCGGTCGGCACGGCTTCTCTGCAATGTGCATTGCTGCCTGCTCTGTGTGTGTGTGTGCGCGCGCGTTCGGCTACACCCAAACCGTGAACCCATCTAAAGCTTTGATACGAATCCCTAACCTGCAGCTGCTTCTGATCAAGAATTTTGTGAACCAAGCAAAGAAGGATGTCAGGAAGGCGGAACTAAGAACACAATTCCCTTCCTTCTACAGCCTATGAAGCTCAATTACGGGTTTGGGAAACCTCAACACTCAAAACTTTCAGGTTTCTCAGACAAGGCTTTCCCCCCTCAGCTCTCCACTGTAGATCCCAAGACAGAAACCCCGTTCTTCCTCTGAAGGTTCTAGGACTAGACTCTACAGTAGTGCTTCGTTCATAATTATTCCCTAAGCTTAAGCCACCCTCTTAACCCTGAGCCCTTTGCCGAGGCGTGTGATGCATGAGGGGGTCGACTGCCCGAGCCGAAAGAAGGCCACGCCGCCATGAATGCTTTTCTTACCTTTGGTTAGTAGGGAATGGAAGAATGGTAGTAACAGTAGTTATGATTGTACCTCATTCCTCCATTCCCGACTAAACAAAGGTAAGTTTTGGGGTCTTATCGGATCTTCTAGGGTTCCAGGATTAGCATTGGGTCTAGCGTGCAGCCTAGGGTGGATGATTTAAGCACTTCGTGTTCGGGTGTGGGAAAAGAAGTGACAAGTATTGCACCACCAGGTATCATCAGAATCTTTAGACATGCTTTAGCTGGCACTGTATGTACTCAATCCCAACCCTGAAGCACGATCCTTTACCCCCACCCTGAGACCCTAGGAGGCGACTGAGGCGTAGCTGCAACGACTGAGGCGTAGCTGCAACATCTGCAAAGATTCTCATAGGTAGTTACCGGTATACTCGATATTCCTTGGGGTCGTCAGTAGAGGACCTGTATTAAAAGCTTTCAAGTCGAAGCTAACTGGGCCAGCTTAGGACGGCTTCTTGCCAATGAGGGTCGAATACGCAGACCCTGTGCCCTTAAATCCTGTACTTTAAAAAGTTAGCTGATGTAATTCGAAGGCGGATTTAAGACTTGGGAGCGCAGCTTTTGCATTCAGGTCCGTTGCTTCTTGCTCGTGCGGGATCCAATCGACCGCTTTCTGTCGTACTACCGAGAGCGCACTGCCAGCGCCCCAGCGCCGTGGTCATGATGGCCTCTCCGATTCCTGTGGGCCCTCGGTGGTGTAGGTCAGTGTAAGTCGCGCCAAAACTTGTACAAGAACTCTTTCGCGTACTAGGCGGAAAGTTAAGCAGTACCGTAGGTCGTGGTCCTCGCAGGGGTGGTGGTCCTGCTTGTCGTCGAACTAGTCGTAGTTCCAGTGACCCGAGTCTTGGTCTTTGTGGCGTAGTTAGTTAGTTCGTCAGCCGTTAGTTAGCCAGTCAGTGAGCAAGCGAGCAAGAAGAACAGGAAGGCAGAAGGTAGGGAGGTAGGTAAGTAGCTGGAAGGGGAGCGGAAAGAAAGCAATAAAGTCACAGTGGAAGAAAAAGTTAGAAAAGCAAACTGTAAAGTAGAGCATTCGAGAGATAATACAGCAAAGCAGTCAGTAGGTGGATAAGGCTGGAAGGTGGGCTGGAAGGTCGGTCGGTGGGTGGGCGGTAGTACTGGCAGCACTCGCAAACTTTTTATGTCTTTTAGTGCTATTAGTACTACTTGTGGTAGCCGCAGTCGCGCAGTAGCTCCTTTACAGAAACAGTCTTCGGTTTGCGCTGTAACTGTATTTACTCGTTGTTCCGTAGTGCCGCACATGCTAGTCCCAGCAAGGTGTATATTATATGTAGCAGCAGCAATAGACTATCCGACCGATAAGCCTGACAATGCCTATTCTCAGCTTAATTCAGGACGGGCGCTTTGCTCGAGGATTGGGCCGCGGTCCTTCAGGCGCAACCTTTCACCGGGATGCTTGAACCTGCTTCTGCTTCAACTGTTGGCTGGACAGTCGCCGGAATCAATACCAGCAGCCCCGCCATATATGATACCCGAAATGAACCTGAAGCCATTGCAACATGCAGGAGACATCGAGTCTTTCTCATGCAGTCGTGTGCAGTGGACGCATTCACAAACGTCTAGAACGGTCCTCATCAATGCAGTGCAAGACCCAACCAGGTACCCTCAATACTAAGGTAGAACCAGACGCGACTTCCTTATACGGCTTCGAAAGCCAGATTCAGAGTTTTTTCTTTCTTGAACTGGTAGTTATTGGGATCCTGCAATTCAGAGTAGAGTATATATGTTGGCTCTTGATTGTCGGATGCTGGCTGGGCATGAGAAACGAAACTCCTATGAAACCCCACAGAACCCTGTTCCTGTACAAGCCATCTGAATCCGTGTCAGAGCCACAGAGTGTTCCCCACAGTTCGTGCTGTTCGTACTGCTAGCCCAGCGTATAAAGCCTTTCTGGGATCATTCAGGTCCTTAGTGAGACCTTATCATGATTACAGTCACGGTCGTGGCTAATCTCTTCATCATTCTGCGCCTCAGTGCTCCTCAACGCTACCCTACCTCTCAGAAGGACCCTATATCTTAGAAGGGGCCCCCACCCTCTAATAGTGACTATAAGGATTATATTAGGGCCCTATTAGATTCCTACTATACCACTATTACAGGGTGGGGGCCCCTTCTAACTTATATCTCAGTCATAAGGATGCGTTGCTTTCTTTGGGAAGCAGTCAGAGGCTGGAGCGCTCCGGCCTGGCGTCGCTACCTGCGCCGCTGGGTAGGAATAGAGCTTAGGAGTTTTATGAGTTTCAGGGTTTTAGGGTACACTTGAGAATTGGAGTTTTGTAACTTTTTTTAGCGTTTAATAGGTTAAGGCTTGTAAGGCTTTCGGGATATGTGTTGTGGGGCTGCCCTGGTTCTCGAAGGCCCCGTTGCAGCAAGGTGCACAGAAGACAGCTGATGGCCGAAATTCACTGACTTGTTTGTGTCTGCAGGTGGGTGTGCAGATGGCGTGTGCTCGCTTGAGAGGTCATTGAAGGCATTGTTAGCCTTAGCCTCATGTGACCCCTACCCTATCATGGGCTATATAAATGGTATTTAGTAGCTATATATTTATTTATTTATTTACATATATATATATATATATATATATATATTCCGGGTATATACCTATACTAGGGGTCCTTGTGATCCGCATTCCGGACCTCCCCTGTTGGTCCACATGCCATAACTGGAGACCGGGTATCAAGCCATGGTCGAACCGAACGCACATGGGGCACACACCAACAGACCAAAAGGGGGAGAGGGCCAGCCCGGAGCGCTGGTTTCTGTATATGAGCGAGGAACTATTGTGGAACCATAGGTGGACTGGAAGCTTCAGTCACAGGAACTTCTCGTCTACAGGGACGAAGAAGGGGGACACAAGTGGGAGTTTCCGAAAATAAGGGACCCTAATATAGCATCCTAAATAGTAGGATCGTTACTATAAGGACCCCAAACAAGGGTACCCTAATTTTCGGAAACTCCCAAGTGTCTTTCAACCTGTCGAGGTGTTGGAGTTTCGCAGCTGAGGCAGTGTGGAGCGCGCTCGTCTGTGGTACGATGGCAAGGCGCTGCAGAGCTCTGCTTCCAAAGTCCACTTGAGAGAGGCCATGAAAACACATGGATGCGAAGCTTTGTGCCAGGCTCATTGAACCTGTAAACCCCCTGGTAGCAGTTGTTGATTTAAAGTTTCGATACGGGTCGGCATCATTTCAAAGAGTAATAGTCCATATACTATACAATAATGGTAGGTATACCCCCCAAACCCAGGAAACACCATAAAAAAAACCCATATTAGCCCCCCTCGCCGCGCGCCTTTGCGAAGGAGACCGGCGTCTTCTGCAACAGGCCCGGCCGCGGTATGCTGAGGAACAAGGTGCTAAGCCGTAAGCCCAGAACCCGAACCCGAGGGCCGTGGCGAAAACGCGCCATACCCAAACTCTACCCAGGAGAAGTCCCAAGCTTATGGGTGGTTGTCAAAAATGGAATCCTTTTTTGGGTACCCTAAATAATAGGTGCCGTATCATAATAAAGACCCAAAACGGGACCCTAATTTTGACAACTACCCTTATGCAGCAACGCCTTCTTGAGCCACTCTTAAATGAAGACGAGCTGGACTGCTTAGGCTTAGACTGCTTGTAGAACTTTCTGTTCTTTGCCGAAGGAAGCAGCGCGGTTTTCTTGCAATGCCGTAGGGCCAACTTGCGAGATCCCCCGGGATCCATCGTACTTCTCGGATGTATCTTCCCTATCGGTACACGCAGCGCAAAACATACACTGACAAGAATCGGCAAGCCTTCATCACGCTACCAGGAACCTTCGATTGCAAAGCCGACCTGAGAGCATTCGGCATAGGAACACAGAGCAACTTTGCTGCACAAGAACTCAGCTCTTCAAAACCAGGGAGAACATGCTCTGCGTGGATCTCGAGAAGACGGGTCATGCTCATCCCTTGGCCCATCGTGTGCGGCCGAAGGCAGCCAAGGACTCTCTAAGGGGAGTTTTTGCATGGACGGCTTAGGGTTTAGGAGCCAAAGAAGGCCGGCAAAATACTTCCCTTCGAGTCAGTGCGGGCGGAGCTTGCAGCAAGCGCCAGTTTGAAACGTTTTGGTATGCAATACTGAAAGGGCGGTGCCCCCTGCTTGAAAGTTTTTATTTTTGGCCAACTTACGACGAATCCTGGCTCTGATCACTAGCACTTTGGAACGCCCAGTGTTGGGTCATGTGCATTCGGCTGTACCGTTTTGGTTAGGGTTCGAGGTGTAGGTTCAGTGCTGTTAGCCCTCATTTGGTTCCCAGCAGGGGCTTTGCAGACTGGAGGCGAACAAATGTTGAGTGATGTTGGGGTTAAAGGGTTTATGGTCCAAGTCAGTTTGTAGGCACGAGTGCTGCCTAACTCGCCCTTCCTGGCAAGACTGCACAGAGGTGCGGATGCAAAAGTGTTTAAAGTTTAGAGTTGATATGGTTGCTGATTTATGATGGACTCTTCTGGACCCAACGTTCATCCATGCGCCGATCATTGACCCACATTACCTATCTACCTACGTATCTACCTATCTATCTGCCGGCCCATCCATCAAGTCACCTGTCTATCCATCCATCTCTGCCTATCCGTCTTTTTGTCTAACTGTGAATCTACCTACCTATCTATCTATCTATCTATCTATTCATCTGTCAACCTATCTATCCATCGATCTGTCCGTTTGGCTATCCCTGCATCTGTGTGCCCATCTACTTGTCTATCCATCCACCTATCAACCCAAACATGCACAGATGTACAAGCTTGGGGCCCTGCAGGGTTGAGGATCAGGAAGCCCTTCTGTCAGCTCGCAGGAGAAGTTCTACTTCCGCTTCCTGGGCGGTCCACAGCGACTTGACTGCCTGTCAGTACGGCGGTGAGCAGGTTTCGGTTTCAGGGTGAGGGGGGGGGGGGGTAAACAAAACTACCAGGCGTCCTTGCCTGCAAGCCTGCAGCAAAAAGAAGGGGCAGTTTAGCAGTTTAGGGTTCAGGGTCGTTTATTCCCCAGCAGAGGCTTTGCAGGCTGGATGCAAAAGGGTTCAGAGTCGAATCCCCTATGCAGCCAAAGTCGAACGGGAGCCCAACAATGCTTAGTCCCTAACCCTCGGTCTACAACCGGCCCTAGTTTAATCTCAGACTCGGGCCGTCAGGGTTTAGTTCAGAATCTGTCAGGTCCTAAGAAGGGATGTTGTGAAGCATTCAGAGGAGATCTCCCGCTCAGTAGGCAGGGATGGTAAGGGCACCATCAACTGTAATTTGGGAAAGACTCTTCAATCAAGAGACATCAGAGCAGCTGAGGGGCCGCAGGTGGGTGACTTTGATCAGGTTTTCGGGGAGGCGGGGTTTAGGGATCTTACTATCCTGGTCTTGTGATCCCAAGCAGCTGGAATTCAAGAATATGCACAAGCTGCAGCTTCTGGTTTGAAAGGCGTCTTGAAGGAGAGTGTATGGGCTCGCTGATATTGAGCTCGGAGCATGGAGATGACGACTTCAGTGTAATGTAGACCTTAGAAGCTGCCCCCACCCTGTAATAGTGACTATAAGGATTAGGGGCCTATCATATTCCTATTATATCACTATTACAGGGTGGGGGCCCCTTCTAATGAAGACTTCAGTGTAATGTAGACCACTTGTTTATGCCATCCCTTGCCTGCAGACTTCGAACTGCCATAGGGATCCTCATGGCCAAGAGCCCTTAAAGAAAGGGATTCGGGTTTAGGGTTTAGGGCTTAAGGGGCCCGACATGACAACCAAGACCCCAGACACACATAACCGAAACTCCGACGGGAGGACGTGACGGTCCCGGGTTAGCTTGGCTGAAGGGTTCAAGTCGCCTAACAAATTGGTAATCATTGGGCTCAGCTTACATGCTCGAGGGTTCTCAATTGCAGATTGTCTGCACGCAAGGTTTGCCGTTCGATGCTGCAGCATGCTGCCACGCACAACATGCCGACTGGCATGACTGACATGTCTAAGCATCAGCATACTCTTACTCGTGGGCAAGTCCTCCGCACGTGCACACACTCAGAGAGAGAGAGAGAGAGAGAGAGAGAGAGAGAGAGAGAGATAGAGAGAGAGAGATAGCGAGAGAGCGAGAGAGCGCATGCTCGCAAACGACAGGATTTCTCTAGTCACAACATATCAAGACTTCGCCACACACCACCATCTCCAGCCACACAGGTGTAGGAGTTCAATGTAATCTCGGTCCCATCCCACTGTTGGCGGCTTAGAGTATAGCAAACCCTGCATACGAATTCTGCGACCACAAGCCAATGCACCCGCGACCACCCCGTCGAAGGTTACAGATACAGTAAGTCGACCATTGAGCCTTTGACAAGTCGATTCATAAGTCAGCCAGCCAGGAGTTAAATTCACCAGCCAGCCAGGCAGGCAATTCAATGTATTTTCGGAGGCCTGACGCCCAGGCCCGAAAATACATTGAATTCCAGAATTCACTGTATTTGCACAAAAGCAAAAACCATTCAATGTATTTGTTGAATTTCCTATGTTCCTAGTGCTGCAAACATCGAAACCCAAGATTGGCTGAATACTTGGAAGACAGCGGCAGGGAGCGGAAGTTGTACGGAACCCCCTGAATTTTTTTAACTCGTTAACTGTAATTAGCCTTCCACGTGCTGCTCTCGGGTGCATTGCCTGGTGAATGCAGAATTAGTATGCTGGGTGTACTCTTAGACTCAGACAGTGCAAGAGGTCCGAGATTACATTGAACGTTCTACACCCGAATCCTTCCAGATAATGGGGTGTGGCAAAGTGTTTGATGATTGCCAGGTTGATGTGTTGCGACTACAGAAATGCTGCCGTCTCTGCAAACGTACGCAAGATCTGTGTGCGTGTGTGTGTGTGTGGGTGTGTGGGTGTGCATGTGTCGGGCAGCCCACGAGCAAGAACGCAGTGTACACATCGTCTTTACGTCGGTGTGCAGATGCTTAGACATGTCAGTCACGCCAGTCGGCATGTTGTGCGTGGCAGCCTGCTGCAGCATCGAACGGCAAACCTTGCGTGCAGACACAATCGGTAACTGAGAACCCTCCAGCATGTAAGGTGAGCCCCATGATTACCGATTTGTTAGGCGACTTGAACCCTTCAGCCAAGCAAACCCCGGACCGTCACGTCCTCCCGCCGGAGTTTCGGTTATGCTTGTCTGGGGTCTCGGTTGTCATGTCGGGCCCCTCTTAGGGTTTAGGGATTAGGGTTTAGGGTTAAGGGATTAGGGTTTAGGGCTTTTGTTGGTTCGGGGTTTGCAACCATTTGGGCATGTTCGGGTTTGTTTCAACGGATAGGGTTGCTGCTCGCTGAGGTCCCTTAGTGACTGCACGCTACATGCAGCTTATACAAGTTACCCTTTCGTAGGCCCTTCAACGCATACTTTCGGTTCCCAAGCCCTGCAGTCCTGACCCCGTGAATCCGGAGCCCGAAATAGCCCGAAGCCCCGTCTCTCCTGGCAGCTCATGCCATATTCCCATTATGTAAGACCATTGAAAAGCCCAATTATTTTCATGAAAGCCCCATGGAACCCTAACCCTAAACTAAGCCTAATGTGCTGGGATGGGCCAGTGTGCCTTCGCTGGTACTGGAATCCTCGCTGTGGTTCGTCCGAGAGTGAGTGCTGAAACTAACCCTACTCTAGAGGGACAGAAAGCTCTTGAAGCTCTTTAGGAACCGCCTTGCCTGGGCTCTGGACCCGGAGCACGGGAAGGCACTAGGGGACTTCCACTGGCGTTTGAGGAGGCAGTACAATGACTTTCGGAAAGTTGGAAGATGGATTTAGGATGACTGTTGGCTGGAATTCCGGATATTTCACCTTAGGGGCAGGAGGATCACGATTTTCCAAGCCTTCTGGCTTCTACCGTAAGCTACGTGGGCTTCTGATAAAGTGGGCGGCATCCGCGCTTGAGTGTTTTCGGTTTCACGGTCGTTTTGGAGGCTAAGGTTTTGGCTGAAGTGTAAGGGTTGAACCCTTGTATCCTAAACGGTTTAGGATCTAAGGAATCTAGGGGTTCAGCTGGAGGGTTTGAGGGCGATTCTGTCAATGATTCGGATCATGGGTGCGGAGTTTTCTTGGACCGTAAGTAGGCTCAAACCTCTGTCCTGAACCCCAGACCTTGACACTCCGACCAATCTCTTAGTAGCTGAGTGGATACAATTCACACTTTTTGGATAGTATTATCCACTATAAAACCAAAAGTGTACATTTTTTTGGGGGGGGAGGGGGGGCTTATGATCTCAGCAACTAAGATCTTTTTCACAAACTCCCTACACACACCCTACTTGCGAACCTTGAAACAATGCGCCAAAGTCACAGCATCCAGCAGGCGTGGAGTGGCGTTGTCCGCTTTCCGCCACTGCATCAGCCAAGTGTAACCCGGGGGCTTTAAGCATAAACCTAAGGTTTGGGAGCATGTTATTTTCCTATGTTGATATGATGTATGTAGCTGTTGGGAGGTTCTCTTGTACCAATATCTCGAACCCTGAATTGCTTAGATCTCATCCGCTCCAGGCTCGAACCGCCATTTGGCGGCTGCGGCGCTGTGTGGTGGGCTTGCAGATGGAGGATCCCAAGGCATTGGGACTCGCAGCCCCCAGGGCGGTTTAGGGCCGGGTTACTGTTGATGGCATAATTCCTGCATTGCCAAAAATAAGGAATATACCATAGTTCCCATAGTTTAAGGTCCTTAAGGTAGTGCAGGATGTATATCATCAACAGTAGTAGGGGTTTAGGGGTTTTCGGGCTAAGGGTCTCAACGAGATGAAGATGTCTTTGACATCCGAAAGCCCCCTAAAGCCGTAAACTTTAGACCCCAGGCTCGGACCTCCAAGCTCCGTTTGAGGGCTTGGCAAGGGCCCAAATGGAGGGGCTTTGCAGGGTTCCTAAACGCGCTTCGTTCGGGCACGGCATTTTAGGGATTGAAGAGGACGAGTTTTGTGTTTCGGGTGGAACCGGGTGAAGGAAGAGTCCCTAGCTGGCTCCAGAACCGAGTTCGGATGCTTTGTCGTCGGAGTTGATTTCGGGATGATGGGTGATGTATGTCGGAACCGGACATCGGGAGAGGCCTAGAATAGGGTGTACCGGCGTATCAACGTCCATCGGGATTGGAGGACTCCTGCTGGGGTGCAGCTACTATGCAAACTTTGAGATTTCGACCATGGCTTTTGTGAGGGATTTTGATGTTCTGAAGCTCTCACATGTGGATTATTGAGGCCTGCGAGTTTTGAAGTCTCAACCCGCGGTTCGGCTTTCACAGCAGTTTGGGCATGCCGAGCTCTGAGCTTCGACCCCTCCGGTCCAAAGACAGCACTGCACCCTGAAATAGGGTTTAGGGTTTGGATCCTATGCAAAAATGCCGGAACTTGGAGAACTGCCCAAATACTTTGAGATCCCATGAACACAGACTGACTGGCACCAGAAGTCGCAACAAAATTAATCGTAGGTACGTGACAGCAGCGCGCATTGCAGAGGAAGCCTCCACGAGTGCGGATGGTTCCTAAACCCTAAACCCTAAACGTCCTTGCTAGGTAGGAGAAAAAAACCCTAAACCCTAAACCATTCTCCGCCGAAGCTTGAGCCCGGCTCCCCTTGGCAGCTCCTATCCCCTAGCTGCAAACCCTCAACCCCATAGCCAAAAACCCTACTGAACCCTAAGTGCAGAAGGCAGACCTGCAGTTCTAGGCCCTAAGCGCAACACCCGAAGCCCTCAATTTCGATTCCTCCGTGCCCCACCTGCTGTCAGGGCTTCCGGGAGGTGCTTGGACACCATTTCCCATGGCTCCATGAGTTGAAGGAGAGCGGCTGCAAAGGGGGCGGAAACATTGGGGTGGGGGCGGGGTTGGGCTTAGGGTTCAGCGCTTATAGAGTTTATTTATAGTAGACGGTTTATGATCAGGGGGATGTGTGGCGGTTTCGGGCTCTCACACCGAGCCCATTGATGACAAAGATGATGAAAAAGACCGTGGTGATGATGATCGTGATGATGGCTTTTGTGTGATCTTCGTTCTGAGCTCCATGTCAAGGCTTAAAGGATCTTCATACACCAAAGGAAACTCAGGAATTTCAAAGCCGGGTAGGGCTTCTGCTTATATCATCCTGCAGGGTCTTGGGCAATTTGACGGGTTTCTGTTTGGCTCCAGAATTTCAGAATAGTTCAGAAGTCATTCTGGCTCTTTGACTACATTGGAGGGTTCCTGGTGATTTATTTTTTTTGTGGTTGCTTCTTTGAAAGAATTTTGTGCTCACCTGCTTAGCATCGTAGAGTGTGTAGATATGTCTTGTATAGGCGTTTAATGGTAGCTAGCCCATGTAAGGGGTCGAAAGGGTACCTGCTGGGTTGAAAAGTGGGGTTTTCGGGACCTTGACATAAAACCCTAGACAGTAGGATCCTTACCGTAAGGACCCCCTTGGAGGACCCTAGTATCTGAAACTTGGATGCATGGCCGGAAAGCAGCAGGTTCTACGAATGGCCTCAAAGTCGCAAGAGTTAGTGACAGAGCGGCGCCGAGCGTGGTCATGAAGCTTTCAAAAGCAATACTGTCTCAATCTGTTTTACCATCGTCGTAGCTTGCCCTCAGCTGGCTCCGTAGACTGCATGTCTGCACGCAAACTAAGATCCCGCCATTTGTGGCGTACAGCAATACATAGTTTCGGCTTGTTCAGCGCCCTTCCTGCCACACTTGGCTCAAGGGACGTGCTCTGAAAACGGAGCCGGCAGGTCCAACAATCGGCCCCGCACTTTCTCGACATCGGGGGCAAAGCAGCCGGGAAAAATGGCCCGGTTCTGCTTGGCCTGGGCGATTCTGACCTGCATGTCGGCGATCGAGGTACAGAAGCCATATTGGTGCCCACCGAACACCTGGAAGAGCGTGTGTAAGTACCAGGCAACATGCGAGAGCTTGGCTATGGCAGGCCTCACTTGTGAGGGCGTGGCTCTCATCGACGGGTGTAACGAGGCCTGTGCAGCTCCATGTTGCCTCACCACGTCGACGACCACAAGGACGAGCACTGTGACCGACACCACGGTGACTGTGACCGAGACGACTTTCACAGAGACCCACACAGAGACCAGTACTACCACTGCATCCGTCAGCCAGACGTCCACCTCGGTCAGCGTGACATCTTCCGCGACGACGGTCACGATTACAGTGCCTCTCACCGAGGCACCCAGCACCACAGGCCAGCGGTTTTTCTGTAGGGGGGTGGGTGGGTTGCGTTTAGGCTTTAGGCTTTGCGTGCAGTCTAGAGTTGAGTCAGCATTTAACACCACTTCAACTCAAGACTTAGAGTACCTAACAGCGAGGGCTATTTCCCGAGAAGCAGCTGTTCCCCCGCGATCAGAACCGCCGCCAACCACGACGACACAGGGCCCAGCAGCTCTTATGCGCTTGGCGATGCGGGTGATGCTGATGAATCCGAACGATCCTTGGACTGATACAGAGTTTTGCGATTTCTGATAGATTCTGGTAATGGTGTGATGATCCCTTTAAACCCCCATCGGCTTTTCCATTGGCAGAGCTCTTGCAAGTGCCGGGGTCGCAGCACAGTGGGCTCCTGTTACAGGCGCACCAAGCAGTCAAGAGGCGTCTTGAAGAGAAGAAATCCCTGGAACCTTCATCTCCCAGTTGGTGCATCTTGTGAGTTTCCGAAAATTAGGGGTACCGCGTTTGGGGGTCCTTATAATAAGGATCCTACTATTTAGGGTACTATGTTAGGGTCCCCGATTTTAGGAAACTCCCATCTAGATTCGAACTGAGGACTTCACTGCCTATATGGACGACTCGCGAGTGAAGAAGGCTTATGTCAACGTAATGGCCAACATCACGGGGGTGCCTGAAAACCAGGCTCGGGCCGCTAAAGGATGCCCAAATCCCTAAAGGCGGCACTATAATGTTACCGTCAATTGGTAGAACACTACCACAGTGGTCGGAATACATACATACATACATACATACATACATACATACATACATACATACACACACATGTATATATATATACATACATCTCTGTATATATATATATATATATTGTAATTGTACTCTGAATTACCCCAAGCCCTATCCGAACTGTTCAGGCCTGTACCACAAATCCCAAAAGGTCGACCTCGACATGATGGCACAGGAGTCCCTTGACCATGCATCCGTGACTTTCTTCTTCTTGGGAATGGGTGGATCCCGGAACCAGGTCCCTTAAGGCCGTCCCCCTAACCCCTAAACCCTCATCGTGGCCGATTGAAGGGAATGGGGGAATGGATCCCTAAACTAGGTCCCTTAAGGTGGTCCCTAGAACCCAGTCTCCCATTCCCTACTAAGAACCAGGGAGGTGACTTCGGATGGTGGGTTGTTGTAGGAAGAGCCTTTGGGCTGAGCATAGGAGCTTCAATAAATAGCATAGGTCTCTGGGGGAATATGTTTTAAAGTGTGCTGGGAGTTTTCCACGTATGTAGCGGGGTGGCTATGAGATGCGGGAAGTTTGTACTTCACCTTCGGTTTTGGAGTTTCTCCACCGTAAACCGTAAACGCTAGTTTGATTATATCAAGGAACCTGTTTCTGATTCAGGGGCTTATCATGCTTTTCAGCATCTTTTCAATTAAGGCTTTGGGGAGGGTCAGAGTCACAGGCTTCTAAAAAGGTTCAAAATGGGGGTGCTCGGTTTAGGGTCTTTTGGTTTTTCAGAAGAGGGCTGGGTGGATTTACGCCTTCCGGGATTTTGGGGCACAGGTTTTACTAATTCAGGGTTTTAGGGTTCATGACTTTGGGCTGTTTCAAAGGGGAAAAGGAGGGACCCTTCATGGGGACCCCTACCCTATAATGGGCTATATAATGGGTATATAATAATAGCTATATTAATGGTATATACCTAGGGGTCCTTATTAAGGGTCCCTCCTTTTACCCTTAGGTTGTTGGGTTTCAGTCCTTGTCGGATCTGGAGTTGCGAGCTCCTGGTTTAGGGATCTTTGTAGTTTTACGAGTGGCACAGATGTTGCCCTTCATTCGACCAGGCCTGACGCTTCGAGTGCCTGTCAGAGAGAGAGAGAGAGAGAGAGAGAGAGAGAGAAAACAAAATAGCTGAGGAACCCAGAAAAATTTAGAGTCCAATATACTTTCCTTGCATTTCTGGGGGACTCGCTATCTTGTCACACCTCTCCATAAGCCCCATAACACATGGGGGGCCCAAGTGGCCGGGGGGCTTGACACGCCACGCCCTGCAGAAGAAGAAGAGAGAGAGAGAGAGAGAGAGAGAGAGAACCCACTGCCCCTCCTGAAGAACAGGAGCACACGTTTTCGTACAGACAGAGCCCATCCATTCAAGATAATGGATGGGGCAGCGCACCCGCGCGGGGCGGGAGGACCGCTCCCGCCCCAAGCCCCCAGCAAAGCAAAGCAAAGAGAGAGAGACAGAGAGAGAGAGAGAGAGAGCGAGAGGGAGAGGGAGAGGGAGAGGGAGAGGGAGAGGGGGAGGGGGAGGTGGGGAGGGGGAGGGGGAGGGGCAGGGTTCCAGCTTGCCGGCACACACCCAAAGCCCGTGCTGACAGAAGGGGTTTAGGGTTCTCACTATTCACTCTTCCTCCCATGTTTCCTTAAATCCGGGAACCCGAGGCTGGGAAATCTCACCGTGATCTTCACGCTCACCATCCCCTACGTGGACCCTCGGTGGCGGCTTTTGTGTTTCCTGCTCCGAGCTTCAGGTTTTCAGAGTCTCATCGTTAAGTGCTGTTGTTCAAGCTGTCGAGTTTATTAGGGTGTCGGGTGTTTACAGCTATTGACAAAAGCGGCATGTTACCCTCAACCCCACACCCTCTATGATGCAGAGCTTTGTTCTGTCTTACCCTGAGCCAAAGACACCATGATCACCTGAAGACCTGTACTTCGAACCTTGGGCCTGCTAAAACCGAAGCAAAAACTTCGAGGTGCAGAGAATCGGTGCCCAATCCCACCCTTCGGTCTTACAACTTAGAACCCTAAACCTTTGCCTGACCTTAACAACCCATTTAGTTGTCGTCTCACTCAACAGACCTCGAACCACATGCCTCGCCTGGATTGTCCGCGTGTGAGCGCCGAAACCTTGTAAATCCTTTCGCCATCTCTTACCTCCCCTAAACGCCATGCCCTCCCCCCCAAAACCTCTTCGGAAAGGATCGTAGTTTGCAGTTTACCATGAACTTTTTTGCAATCTTTGCACATGAGTATCCGGGAGATATGGGAGTTTCATGGAGTCTCCCAAAATAGGGTACCTTATTTGGGGGTCCTTAAAACAGGGATCTACTATTTAGGGTACTATATTTTTTGACACTCACTCTCGGACTAGCCTGGCAAGGTCTGCAGAAGTAGGTTCGACGTGTAATGATCAAGGGTACTATATTTGGGCCCCCTATTTTCAGAAACTCCCATATCCCTTAATTAAAGAATATACCTTAAATCATATTCTGGATCCTACTATAAGTTAAGGTATATATTCCTTCATCAAGGGATATTCAGCCTGCGCAGGACAACGGCACGGCGATGGTGCCTTCGGTCCCAATGGGTCCGATGCAGGCTCCACCTGGATGGGTGGCGAAAAAGGGGTCCCTTTAAAGAGTCCTATAAGGGCTACTATAAGGGTTACTATAAGGGTAGCACAAGGGTTACTATGTGGATACTATAAGGGTTACTATAAGTGTTACTATAAGGGTTACTCTAAGGGTACTATAAGGGTTACTATAAGGGTTACCATAAGGGTACTATAAGAGCTACTATAAGTGTACTATAAGGGTTACTATAAGGGTAGAATAAGGGTTACTATAAGGATAC